ACAGAGCAAGACCCTATCTAAAAAAAATGAAAGAATCATGGATATACACAACATGGAGTAATCTAAAAATTATTGTTCCACATGAAAGAAGCCAGCACAAAAGAGTGTGATTGATTGCATGAATATTCTATTATTGTGATAATTGTATTATTGCACTTAGATAGAATCTAGAAACTGCAGACTAATCCATAGCAACTGAGAACATTTCAATGGTTGCCGCTTAGGGCTGGGAGTGGAGAGTGAGATGTGCTGTGAAGGGGCATGATACGAGCAATTGCTTGGGTGATAGAAATGTTCTGCATCTTGATTGTGGTTTCCACAATCAAGATGCAGAACAACGATAAAATAGTCAAAACTCATAGAATTGGGCACTCTAAAGAGGATGCAGGTTAGGCTGGGCGCTGTAGTTGATGGCTGTAATCCTAGCACTTTGGGAGGCCATGGCAGGTGGATCACGAGGTCAGGAATTCGAGACCAGCCTGACCAACATGGTGAAACCCCGTCTCTACTAAAAATACAAAAATTAGCCAGGCATGGTGGTGCACACCTGTAATCCCAGCTACTCAGGAGACTGAGGCAGGAGAATCACTTGAACTCAGGAGGTAGAGGTTAAAGTGAGCTCAGATGATGCCACTGCACTCCAGCCTGGGTGATAGAATGAGACTCTGCCTCAAAAAAAAAGAAAAAAAAATAGCCAGGTGTGGTAGTGCATGCCTGTAATTCCAGCTACTTGGGAAGCTGAGGCACAAGAATCACTTGAAGTCAGGAGGTGGAGTTTGCAGTGAGTTGAGATCATGCAACAGAGTGACTCTATCTCAAAAAAGAAAAAAAAAAAGATGCAGTTCATTGTACATATACTTCAATGAAGTTAATTAAAAACCAGTTCTGACTTTAAAAAATAGCTTGAATAGTGGGATTACATTTTTCAAAAGTTCCTTCTCTCCATGTTGCCTGTACATATCCACAGGGTAACTACAATGAGGTTCACTAGACATTAATGAAATACTGATTTCTGGATGGTAGGATTTGAAGCAATTCAAAAAATATTTGTCTTTGATGTTTTTCCTATTGTTTGGACTTTTATAGTGAGCATATGTAATGTTTATAACTGTTAATGAATATTGAAGATATGTAAGTATGTAATATTCCATTTTATGGAGGCATTGTGTTGAAGACATTATGTGGAGACAGGTGCACCAGATGAGAAAGGAGACCTACTTCCCAGCCCTAGCCATGGGCGCTGACTTGCTCAGCTGCTTTCATTTGCTCACGGAAAGAGTCTATTTTATTTTCCCTGTTAAAATGGCAATGGAAATAAGAATTCTGCATAACACTCCCCAAACAGGTAGAAATGCCTTTAATTCATTCTGATCGGGGCTCTCGAGCTAGCTGAGTCCAGGGAAAGTACAGGCCATTCTAATCCTCAGTGTGGTGCCTGTAACACCCGCAAGAAAATATTGCCAACATGTTTTTGCCTTGCTAGTGGCAGTACACAAGGTATTTGATTTCTCTTTCACTATTTCTATGTGTAAAATGGGGACAGGCTGATGGGGTTTGGTATGAAAAAGCATAAATCAAATTATACGCTTTGGAAATAAATGTTTGAATAATAACAGGATTTTGTTATTTATGCTGAGCAATATTTTGTCATTTCTACAATATATTCTAGTATTTAAATTTCTACTGGTGCAAATTTTGCTAACAAGGTTTCCACCCATTCATTTGGGTTAAAGCGTTGATTTCTGTCTGGTTTAGAGCACAGGCAGTTCTATTCCCCAAAGCAGTAAATTCGCCTCTGCTAAGATAGAAGGACATTGCAATTCAAAGCCTTCTAATATGCCAAACAGAATGTCTCAGTAATGCCCACAGATGCTGAAATTACTGGATAAATCCCAAATATTTCTCTTATTTAAAAAAATAAAAATTTTAAGGTGTATATTTTCTTCAGAGAATGAAAAAATACAAGAACCACATTGTCTCCCCAAAATGTAAAAGGAATATCTGATAGATAACAATCTGTGTGTGTGTCCCATTTGAATGCTCATAAACAGGCTCTGTGTGACTGCATTGCCTAGCAACTCTATTGACAAGGCTTTAAAAGTCTGCAGTTAGCAGGTTGAGTGGTATTACAGAGAGGTCCTTGAAAAGATGGTACAGATTACTGAGATGCAATATTCCTTTTTAGAAAGAATAATAAGTCTTTATATAGCCATCAAATCCAGTTCAGACTGCAAAGTAAATAACATAAAAAAATTCAGATGGAAAAGTGTAACTTTATTATAAACTGCCAAATCCCAGAAAGAAAAACATTTAAGATACTAGGAGCCTTACAGTGTGAAGCATTTAGATATTTGGCTGCTGTTTGTAAACTATTTTGTTTTAGTAGGTAACTGTATGATTATATGATAAATTACATTTGACACTACCTCAGTGTGGTATCATATAAACAGTGGGATGTACAGAAAATTCTTACTCAGAAACTGAAGATTGTCCCAACCAGCAAAACAAAGACTTATAACAAATTAGGTAATAACGATTTACTCTTAACCTTCCTGAATTACTTTCATTTCTGCTCCTTCTTTTAATTCTCATAGAACAGATGTTACCTATGCTATGAATTCTACTGCAAGGAGAGATTCTGTCTGCATATCAGAATTAAAAGGGGTCTGGTTCAAAACCAGATTCCCAGGCCCAAACTCCAGTCAGTCTGGTTAGTAATGGGGAGAATGAGACCCAGGATCTGTGCTTTAATAGCCTGCCTGACCCTGCCCTGTTAAATTAATGAGTCCAAGAGAGTTGGTCCAGGTACCTATGTCTGAGAGCCACCATCTGGACTCACATGAGGTTAGTGCTTCTCCAAGAGCATTGCAGAATTAGAAATGGCACAGCAGGTTTGGGATGGCAATGCTGTTGGGTGCTGTGTCAATCCCAGATTGTTAAAACAACGCAAGCAGTTTTCTTCTTTTTCCATTTTTCTGCCCAGTTGCTCTGCCTTATGAGACTTTCCTGCTTGGCTTCATGGACCATCTTGGATTTTCATTACCTAGAAGAATTTAGTATTATCTCTAAACTTGGATATATTGCTATATATTCTCCCTGAGCGTTGAATAAAAGATTATTCTTGAAACTGAGAAAAGCCCACTCTTCAGAGGGCTCATGTTTCTTAATGAGTATGCGATTCTTTCTTCTTTTTTATTTTATTTTTTTTGAGATGGAATTTCACTTTTGTTGCCCTGGCTGGAGTGCAATGACTTGATCTCAGCTCACCACAACCTCCGCCTTTCCCAGGTTCAAGTGATTCTCCTGCCTCAGCCTCCCGAGTAACTGGGATTACAGGCATGTGTCACCACACCCAGCTAATTTTGTATTTTTTAGTAGAGAGGGGGTTTCTCCATGTTGGTCAGGCTGGTCTCGAACTCCCAACTTAGGTGATCTGCCCACCTTGGCCTCCCAAAGTGCTGGGACTACAGGTGTGAGCCACCACACCCAACGATTTTTTTTTTTTTTTGAGAGAGTCTTGCTTTGTTGCCCAGGCTGGAGAGCAGTGGCATGATCTTGGCTCACTGCAGCCTCCGCCTCCTGCACTCAAGCGATTCTCCTGCCTCAGCCTTCTGAGTAGCTGGGACTACAGGTGTGTGCCACCATGCCTGGCTAATTTTTGTATTTTTAGTAGAGACAGGGTTTCATCATGTTGGCCAGGATGGTTTCGATCTCCTGACCTTGTGATCCACCCACCTCAGCCTCCCGAAGTGCTAGGATTACAGGCATGAGCCACTGCGCCTGTCCATGAGCAAGTGATTCTAAACAAGTTCACTGCCTGTGACAAAACAGTGCTCACCTCAATCTAATAATGACTTACCTTAATCATTTTTGGTTTGGACCGTTCTTAAGAAAGTGTAATTAGAGGACATCCACAACTTTCCACATGCCTGTATACTCCTTCAATAAAATTGATCAAGGGAAGAAGAATGACTACACCCTCTGGAAGGCTAGTAGTATATAATATGTGCAATTCACAATGAATTCAAGGGGCTCAGAGCCACTCCTGCAGAGAGCCATGTCTGATCCCACCTCTTCGCCCCTTTCCACCACCACAGTCCTCACACAAATGAGGTTTCTCCCTTGAAACTCTCTGAGCATGGCTCGGTGCCTCTCTGATGGCGGCTGGCTAAGACATGCCTACTTCCATGACATAGTTTGGATCTATGTCCCTACCCAAACCCCATGTTCAGTTGTAATCCTGAGTGTTGGAGGTGGGAGGTGATTGGATCTTGGGGACAGTGTTTCTCATGAACTATTTAGCCCCATCTTCCTTGGTCACAATACTGAGTGAGTTCTTATGAGATCTGGTTGTTTAAAAGTGTTGTGTGGTACCTCCCCTCCCTCACCTCTCTTCCTTCTGCTCTGGCCATGTGAAGTGCTCACTCCTCCTTCAGCTTCCACCAGGATTGTAAGCTCCCTGAGGCCTGCCCAGAGGTTGCTGCTGCCATGCCTCCCATACAGCCTGCAGAACTGTGAGCCAATTAAACCTCTTTTCTTTATAATTACACAGTCTCAGGTATTTCTTTACAGCAATGTAAGAATGTATTAATACACTCCACTATGAAAGCTTGACTTTCTTAAAGGCATAGACCATTCCCGATAGCGTATGCCCCCTGAATGAGTAAGAAAATCAGTGACCATGTAGCTGCCTTTCCCCTTTACATTTATATATGCTTGGGATGTACAGAGCCCTTTTGCATCCACCATAAGCTTTTACTTCTTTCCCCACAGACCGACAGAGATTCTGTGACTTTCTATGGCTCTCTTCAGCTGTATCAGCTACTTCCAACTTGGTTGTTCAAAAACTATTGCAATAGAGCAATTTCTATCAATTGACTTCAATAAGGGTATACACTATCAACCGCTGTAACTCAAGGCTACCCTTTTTCCAAGCATTCTCTGTGGGTCAGTGCTTTGACCCAGAACTTGTGTTTAGCTGTAAAGAGAGGTTCACGTACCTCATCCTGCAGCAGAGTCTTACTGTACTCCAGGTGGTGCCTCTCCAAAATAGAAGAACCATGGAGTCTGGCTAATGGAGATGTGGATCTAGAAGGAAAACGATATGCCATGATTTTAGCTGTTTAAAAATTACACATAGGCTTTTATGATACAGTATCTTTATTGTTTCAGGATTTTTCTTAATGTCTCTCCTCCTCCCTCCCAACTCAATACCTGTGAATTGGTCAAAAATCACATATTGGAAAAGATTTCCTAAATTTAGAAAATGAGAATTTGCTCTTTTCGGGAAAACAAAACAAAACAAAACAAACCCTGAATTTGTTGAAGGCATAAGTGATTGAATTGTTTAAATTAAGGAGAACAGCTCTTTGTATCTAAATTTTTTAAGTTCCCTGGGGCTTATGGTGGCGGACTGTGACTTACAAAATGTACAGCAAACCTGTGGAAGCCCATAGGTTATCTGCATAGAACCAAGATGAAAAGCACTATAAAGAAACATTTCTCTCTTTCCCCAAGACAGTGACATAAATTTAAGCTTAGAGTTCCCATTTATTAACAATTAGATCACAGTTTTATATAAGTGAGGGCTCCAGTCTTTTTTGTATGGTTTTTCTTCAGTGCCTTCTGGGTAAAAGAGGCTGAAGTCAAAGGTCTATAGATGATGTGAAGACTGTCATGAAAATATAGAATAAATTATTTTAAAGAAAGAAGAAATAGCCGGGCGCGGTGGCTCACGCCTGTAATCCCAGCACTTTGGGAGGTTAAGGTGGGTGGATCACCAGGTCAAGAGATCGAGACCTTCCTGGCCAACATGGTGAAACCCCATCTCTACTAAAAATACAAAAAAATTAGCTGGGCGTGGTGGCGCGCGCCTATAGTCCCAGCTACTTGGGAGGCTGAGGCAGGAGAATTGCTTGAACCCGGGAGGCAGAGGTTGCAGTGAGCCAAGGTCGGGCCATTGCACTACAGCCTGGTGCCTGGTGATGGAGTGAGACCCTGTCTAAAAAAAAAAGAAGAAGAAGAAGAAATAAAAAAACATCACTGGTAGCCTTAGTAGAGAAGTTTTATTTATTTCATGGAGAACAAAACTTTAGGCTGGGAGAGGTCATAGCCAGGTTACTGGCAGGTCAGGGAAAGCAAATACTTTAGCTGGAGAATAATTAGGCCATATCTAATCAATATTACAATTGATCATAATTTTAACACATATTTAAACAACTCCTCTGTGTTGGCATTCGATATTTTTTAAAATGAGTAAATTCCAGCCTCTATAACCACCAAACTGCTCTCTGTCTTAGGAGATCCACTTCTGAAGCCTCCATATATGAGTAGAAACATGTGATATTTGACTCTTCATGCCTGGCTTATTTCACTTAACAAAATAATCTCCAGTTTCATCCCTATTGCTGCAAATGACAAGATTTTATTTTTTTGGCAGGTGAATAATATTTATATATATATACCACATTTTCTTTATTTGAAGGTAGAGAGTAATTTGGTGGTTACCAGAGGCCAAGAATGGAAGAGAGCTGAGAATGATGAAGACAGGTTGATTAATGGGTACAAATATACAAGTAGGTAGAATAAATAAGACCTAGTCTTCAATAAATTAATAGAGTAACTATAGCAAAGAACAACCTATTGTATATTTCAAAATAGCTAGTGAAGAATAATTTGAATGTTCTCAGCATAAAGAAATCATAAATGTTCAATGTGATAGGTAGTTCGATTACCCTGTTTTGACTATCACATATCATATGAATGTATCAAAATATCACGTACCCCACAAATATGAATATCTATTATGTAGCAATTTAAAATATATATTTTTAAAAATGAATAAACCTCAATTCTAGTTAGAAAGGATTGGTATCTTTAATTCCTTTAGGTTTAAAAACATTAGTTAAAAATGTAATTAGGAAGCTAAATATTCATCTGGTCTCAAAATAATGCTTTGCATATTACTTATTGATTGCAAAGGAGAAAATGTTGCTTTACATAAAGAGATCTATTGGACATAATTTATAAATAAAATTGATATAATGGGCTTCTTGACACAATGCATTGAGAAAGACACAACATCATCTATGTAGAATTCCTGCAAAAAAATGTTTAGTCTGAATTTAGTAATCAGGAAAAAAGTGGTTAAATCCAAATTGAAAGATATTCTGCAAAATAACTAGCTTAGACGCTTCAAAAATGTCAACATCCTGAAACACACAAAAAGGTAGAGTGACTACTCCAGATTGAAGGAGATTAAAGATAATTTAACAACTAAATGTAAAGTGTGATCCTTGATTAGATCCTGAATTAGAAGGAAAAATAGCTATAAAGGACATTATTGTGATAACTGGGAAATTTTGAATAAACATTGTATATTAGATAATAGTATTACACCAATGTTAAGTTTCCTGAGGGTGATCATTGTATTGTGTTTATGTAAGTGAATGTCCTCCTAATTCTTAATAAATACATGCTGAAATATTTAGAAATGAAATATAGTATCTGCAACCCACTCACAAATGATTTAGTGGAAGAAAAAAAAGAATTAATTGGCCACGTACAGTAGCTCATGCCTGTAATCCCAGCACTTTGGGAGGCTGAGGCAGGAGGATTACTTGAGCCCAGGAGTTGAACACCAACCTGGGCAACATAGGGAGGCCCTGTCTCTACAAAAAGCCAGGCATGGTAGCATACACCTGTAGTTCCGGCTACTTGGGAGGCTGAGGTGGGAGGATTGCTTGGGCCCCGGAGTTCAAGGCTACAGTGAGCCATGATCCTGCCACTGCAGTCCCTGGGTGACAGGGTAAGACCCTGTCTCAAAACAATGAAAGATGAATTTACACACACACACACAGACATTCACACACACACTGCCAGTCTGTAGTCAGGAAGCCCTTCCATCACCACATGCTCCTACAGTTGAGTTGACAGAGGAGGAATGATGAAAGGAAACCAGGCCAATGCAGAGGGTAGTGTGTGGCTGCATTTATCCTTCCTGCAAACCTGGAGGCAAGATGCCAACTTCAGTCCTGCTACTTCCTATGACCTAGGGCAAGTCTGACTTCATCTTTTGAGCTCATCAGTAAAAGAGAGGGATAACAGTACTTCCTGTATGTACCTCCCTTCACTGTGCTGTGAAGGTTAAATGAGGTAGTAGGTATCAAATCCTTAGCTTGGTCTCTGTCCCACTTTGTCTATAGCCCAATTTGTCTCCAGAGGGAAAAATGGAGCCCAGGAGTTCAACAATGGCCTGGCAACATAGGGAGGCCCGGTCTTCACAAAACCAATTTAAAATTTAGCCAGGCATGGTAGCTTATACCTGTAGTACCAGCTACTTGGGAGATGCTCAGTGTGTTTCTCTGGAACTGAATTGGCTAGTATACTACCGATTAAGAAGGAGGAAGAGAACTTCAGTGACTATCAGGGGACTTGCATTCAGGAGGAGTGAGTGGCCAGTATAGGCTGGAGCCTTTTGAGATGAAGATGTCTCTTGCCTGAAGTCTGGATGGAGATCGTCTTTTCAAGACAAAGCCTTATAATAGGTAGAATTGCTGAAGATGAGGAGTCACTGCTTACAAAATGCTTTTCATTCAATGAAATTATATATGAACCCTGCCTAGTAGGCACTTTCTCACAGGTTTCACCTATGTAATTTCATTTGATTCTCACGACAATCTTTGAGAGGTCAATACTTGATCCATTTCATGGCTAAGAAACTGAATCTCAAACAGATTAAGTGATTTGTCCAAGATCCCCCAACCAGGAAGTAGCTGGTCCCCACAAACCCAAGACTTCAAAGCCTGTTCTGTGTATAACACTTCATTACTTCTGGAGAGGGGTAAGCCATATGTGAGAAATGAGAATGAAGTGTGGCTAAGGCAGATAGACAATCTTAAAACCCATTTCAAGGAGCTGGGCTGGGCCACGAGCAATGCTGGTGAATGAAGAGTTCCAATGACATCATAATAATAGTAATCATAATAATACCTAATATTTATTTATTTTTACTGAAATGGAGTCTTGCTCTGTCTCCCAGGCTGGAGTGCAGCGGCGTGATCTCGGCTCACTGCAATCTCTGCCTCCAGGGTTCAAACAATTCTCCCTCAGCCTCTCGAGTAGCTGAGATTATAGGCACATACCACCACACCCAGCTATTTTTTGTATTTTTAGTAAAGACAGGGTTTCACTATGTTGGTCAGGCTGGTCTCAAACTCCTTACCTCATGATCCATCCGCCACAGCCTCCCAAAGTGCTAGGAATACAGGCGTGAGCCACTGCGCCTGGCAATTATACCTAATATTTACTAACTGCCAAGATCCTACCATGAGTTGAGGGCTTTATATGCATGATTCCGTTTAATCTTTACAACAACCTTGTGTGCTGGATACTATTATTATAATTCTACTTTCCAAATGAGGAAATTGAGGCTTAGAAAGCTTAAATAACTTGTGTACATAACAGTGAATCCAAATCTGCCTGAGCCCAGAGCCTGCACCCTTCTTATTGTACTTCCTTTCTTGTGGCAAGAGAGAAAGATGGCATCAATGTTAAGATAGAAGACCGGCTGAAGGAGAGTTTTGTAGAAGCAAAAAGACCAGGGAAGTGAAGTGTAGTGAGCCCAGAAGTAGTGTTCTCTACCCTGAGCTAGGAAATGCTCCATTGGAGTATACAGGTGTAAGCCTAACATTCTTGCATCTTGTTTGTTTATTGAGAAGGGTCTCACTTTGTTGCCCCAGCTGGAGTGCAGTGGCACAGTCTTGGCTTGGTACAACCTCCTCCTCCTAGGTTCAAGCGATTCTCCTGCCTCAACCTTCCTAGTAGTTGGGATTATAGGTGCCTGCCACCATGCCCGGCTAATTTTTGTATTTTTAGTAGAGACAGGATTTCACCATGTCAGCCAGGCTGGTCTTGAACTTCTGACCTCAGGTGATCCGTAAGCCTCACTTTCCCAAAGTGCTGGGATTACAGTCGTGAGCCACCATGCCCAGCTGGATTCATGCACTTTAATATAGGAATTCAATACTCTGATTAAACAAGGTTGAGAAAAGAAAGCCTGAGGTCCTACAGGAAGAAGACAGAGGCACATCTGGAAATGAAAACAAAGGAAAGGGGGATGTAGGCCCCTAGGGAGAAAGAGCAACATTGTGGTGAAGGCAGAAGCTTGGTAGGGAACAGAACCCAGCCCTGGGATTTCCAAACATGGCAAAGAGGGATTGACTGGGCCAAGGAACAGGGAGAAGTGTTCCTCTCACCCTAGGTACCTTCCAATGTCCACCAATAAGTGTCAAGATTGCACATGTGTTCACTTACTTCATCTGGTACAAATTATTGGTGCCTCTGTGGTCAATATCATGGCAGAAAGCAGCAGCGAGCATGGCAAAGGCTTCGAGATCCGTGTAGTATTTCTTTAATCTTCCAGTCTAAAAAAATAACATATATACATATATCTATAATTGATTTGAATCAATATACCTCTATACCAAGTACAGCAAGGCCTGCCTGCAATAGAGAAAAGGCCCACTAGGTTTTTGGAGCAAGTTCACTTTATTTCCTGTGAGTATTGTAGCATTGTGGGTAATGACTGAACCTTCCTTTAAGAAGGAAAGTAATGTGAACGTCCGAGTGATCGTGTCACCAGTGCTCAAGGATACCCACGTTCCCTGGGTTCCTCTGCAATGGAGAGGGGTTTGTGCCCTGAACTTTTAAATTACTGATCTAAAATGATAGACCGTATTTATTTCTCATCATATTCAAATGGGAAGTCGGCAGGTTTGCCAGTGTTTACGGCCCTCTGCACCTACCATCAGCAAAGTAAACATGGTCTGTCCCACATTGAACCCATGCCGCCAGTTGTGGTAGGTGACAGCGCGGTATCCTTTCCTCACAGTGTACATCCATCTGGTAAGAACCTAAAAGAAGACAACACCATTCAAACTTTGGAATCAAACTCTAAAGGTTAGAGGGTCTGTGACGATCTTATCTAAAAAGAATTGTTAGTCCGGTTGTCAGGGTTAAGCTGATGTGTTTAGAAAGTTAATCTAAAATTCAAACCGAGTCCATCTTTTGAACCACAGAAAACATCAGTGACATAGAGCCACCAAATCACACAGTATTTTAAATTAAATGCCATCTGACCTCTACGGGTACTTTGAATTTCTCCACCACATTTATTTCAAAAAACAGTCGTATTCCACATTTAATCAATCCGTGCTCTGTAATGGGGAAGTCACTGAAGCGGAATTCATACAGTTCTACTGAGCGTGGGTCTGGCAGGTCCTCTTTCTGTTGAAATAAGGAAGGATTGTTTCAGAACACTTCATCTGTTTTCCCTTTCCACTCCCATAGTCAACATTGGTGTGAAACAAAATTACAGTAAAAGAGCACAATGTGTGATTCGCTGAGGCACCATGTGCCAGCAAACAGATAGTTGCAGTTTGCACAGATTATCCTCACAGCAGGCATACACGATTACCCCCATTTCACAGGGGGTGAAACTGAGGCTTGGCTATATTAAAAACTTTCTAAGTGACAGGATACCATTCCAAATCCAACTCCAGTAGCTATTTTGTTTCTGTGATGCAAAATAAAATGTTTAGTTACAAAAGCCTTACTCATTTTCAATACTCAACTTATTTTCTGTTCAAGAAATATTCAGTGAACAGTAAATGACTACTTAATTCAATTCTCCTACTTTTCTTTATATGCTCAGTGACAGTTTCCCACTAGAATGTGAGTTCCCCGAGGGCGGGGATCATCTGCTTATTTGCGGCCATATCCCACATCCGCAGTACCTGTCCCATGAAGGTGCTCAGGAAATGTTTGTTGATGAATAAATGGATGGATGGATAAAACAATGAATTCCCTGCAGTACACCGGTGACGTGCAGACATTTCATTGAATTCACATCTAGTTAGGATTCCAGATTATGTGAATAAACAGTGAAGTAGGCACATGGCATTGGCGCGACTTAAGAAATAAAAATATAGATCTTGCCCTTAAAGAACTTAATAAAGTGGTTATAAAATGTAGATGAATAGTAAGCGCTTAGAATAATCAGAGAGTATGGCCAGTGCTCCATGCAGAGGGAGAAACTGAAAGACCTTGGACAGTGGGAAATTAAATGAGGAGAGATGCTGGAGGAGCGTGCGTGCAGCTGAGCTGGCAGAATGAAGCGGGGAGATGATTCCACATGGGAGAGAAAGTGCCAAGAGGCGGAAGTTAGCAGCACCTATGTGGGTGTACCAGACAGACCTGAGTAGCAATTCGGTTCAGTGGGTATTTATTGAATGTGTAGTATGTCCTTAATAGTACGCTGAGAAGAACACAAACATAGGGAAAAGCAGGTCACTCCTCTTAGTAAGTTGAATGTTTTTCAGGGGACAGCCCATGCTCTATTTATGCAGATTTCAACACCAAATGGCATATGGCTATTTAAATCAAAATTATGGTTTCCAGTCCCCCCAGCCCCCGAGCCTGGGCTGGCCCCTAACACTCTTGCACGGAACTGTTGCTACTACACCTAGAAAATCGGCTGAGCCTTCCCTGAAGGTAACTTGAAAGTGCAGACCTGCAGAAACACTCAGGTACATGAGGATGGACAAATAATTACGTAGCAGAGAAATTACGCCAGGATAATTTTGGAGAACTCCTCTGAAATATATGTTATATTCCTCAATTGTATGCAGCAATGATTTGAGATTTGCCCAGATTAGATTTTACATTCAAAATTGGCTGGTTTTTTAGGAAGTCTACTGGTTATGTGTCCACTTTATTGCTTCTACAACATGAGATCCTTATTCCTTTAAATGAGAAACTAGAGAATTTCTAGTGTCATGGATGTCAACAAAAGTTTCATTTTCCAAGAAGATGCCTACTGTTGAGGGCAGGTGGGGAGAAGAAAGGGTGGTCTTCTGGACCAGGCTGAGAGGATGGTGCTCAAAGGGGGAGCCAAGCAAAATGGGAGAAAAGGGAACTTCCAATGACATGAAAACATGAGTGATTCTGGTATTAAGATCTATTGATGATTCTCATATTAAGATGGGTACCTCAAAATAATAAACATGAATACATTTTTAATAAAGGAAAAGATAGTCAAAATAGATCAAATGATAAAAAGTTTTTTTTTTTGTTTTTTTTTTTTTTTTTGAGACGGAGTTTCACTCTTGTTACCCAGGCTGGAGTGCAATGGCTCGATCTCGGCTCACTGCAACCTCCGCCTCCTGGGTTCAGGCAATTCTCCTGCCTCAGCCTCCTGAGTAGCTGGGATTACAGGCACGCACCACCATGCCCAGCTAATTTTTTGTATTTTTAGTAGAGACGGGGTTTCACCATGTTGACCAGGATGGTCTCGATCTCTCGACCTCGTGATCCACCCGCCTCAGCCTCCCAAAGTGCTGGGATTACAGGCTTGAGCCACTGCGCCCGGCGATAAAAAGTTTTAACACAGAGAACCTTAACAAAATAATTAAATGTACATTCTAGAACTGAAAAAACTCTCTGAAATTAAGAACTTATTGAGAGTTTAACAGTTGATTGGACACAACGAAAGACAGAATTAGTAGAGTGACAAAGTTAATTTCAACCAGAAATAATAGGATGGCCTAATGGCAACAACAAGAAAGCACAGAAGCCTTCAGACTCCAGAAGAGAAGCTAGAAATGGCAGGTGGAGGGTAGGGCCTGTGCCTAGAAGGATCCATGCTCCACTCTTAACTCTGTCGTGTCCCCTGGGGTGGCCATGGTGTCATCCACAGCTATTAAAATAAACTGTGCCTTGATATCCCCAGATTCTGTGCCTGAACTCCCCTAAGCAGTAGTCTAGACTAGTTGCAATTGTAAATTATCTGTGTGAATTGGACCAGAGGTGACAAAGATGAAGAAAAGCAGGAAATCAGAAGATCTATCTTTAGAAGAAATCTTTCTTTTTACCCTTGAGAAGTATCAGGAAAGAGAAAACTCAACATTTACTTGAAAAACAAGAAAGCATGTCCTAATATATTATGGATTTATATATTATCTATTTAACAGGCATTAAGGTTAGAAGGAAAACACTTACCAAAATTGCAACAAGTTGTTTTTCTTCACATTCATCAATTACATCAACATTTAACTTCTCTTGAAATTTCTAAAATGTAAAAGCAATTGAGGTGTGAAATTCCTAAAGGAGAAGAATTCCATCCGATTCCTCTACTATTAAAATATTAGGTAAGATATATTTAAAACATGTGGGAGGCAGAGGCTGCAGGATCCCTGGAGCCCAGGAGTTGGAGGATTCAGTGAGCTATAATGACACCATTGCACTCCAGCCTGGGTAAGAGAGTGAGACCCCATCTCTAAAAATAAGTAAATAAATAAAATACAATAAGTTCCATGGCAAAGAAGCATTTTTCATCATGGATACAAAGACCTATAGCTCCTGATTATGAAGAATTTTTTTCAAGAAATAATCTAATATATTTGATTTTTTAAATTTCCCCAAAATGGTTACAGTAGCTGGATTAAAAAAAAAAGAAGAAGAAGAAAAGAGATGTGGGTTGTTTGCATGTAGGAAAAAGAAAATGAGTGGCTTACATTTATTTTTCTATTAGCTTATTGCAATTTCCTTTATTTTCCCCAGATCTTCTCATCTTTAACATCTCAAACTCTCAAACTGAGTTACACTCAGACCACTCAGCAAAACAAAAAACCAACACCCTCACCAAAAACAACCCACTCTTGCAAAACTATACCTAAACACACACACACACACACACACACACACACACACACACACACACACACACAGCTTGGGAAATAAAAGGAATAGAGATGGTGGGTGCATGATATTTTTCCTTCATTTCGTGGTGATTAGAACATGGTTAGCAAATTCCCACTTGCTCCCCCATCATCCATAACATTGGTCTTTGTGATGTGGGTTTCTTTGCCCAGTGAGTATTTTTGTGAATGTGATGTGAGCAAAACTTGAAGTATGCCTGCACAATTGGGCTTGCTCTCTTGCACCTCTGTCATCTCTGTGAGAAGTATGTATATCAGGTAGCTCCTTGTCTGAGAAGGATGAGAGACACATAGAGCAAACCAAATTCATAGCTTGGAGCCAAGCCCAGCCACTGTCAGTCAAAACCTGGTCAACCCACAAATAGGAGTGAGAGTCAGAGGTTCATTACTGCATGCCACAGAGGTGTTAGGGTTGTTGTTATGCAGCATTATACGACCATAGCTGACCGATACATTTCCCTTCCAAAAATATATTTTTTTCTTGCTAGATGTTATTATTCTAGCTCCCACAACCTCAGGGGCTGTTTTTAACAAAGCACTATTCCAGCCAAGCAGCTGTACTTCCAGTAAGGGTCTCTGTACACCGGGCCATCCATGTCTTCTTCCAACCCCTCTTTCCCTCCTTCTCTCTCTCAGCCCAGGAGTAAACCATTCACATTTGTCAGACTTCTGAGTATTTGGGTGACTTCTAGAATATTTGGTTAGATAGCAGCTTATGTCCACAGGACTGAATTCCCCACTTACCAAGATGGACTTAATTTCTTCAGGAGTAGCTTTGGTGTGGTTCATGAGCATTTCCTGAGCTATGTCCTTTCTGTTTTCCAGCTTATTCATCTTTTCATAGGTGTCAGTATTTAAAAGAGACCATCCAAGAAATTGTGTGAGAGTCTGAAATGGATAAAAGATGATTCTAATTCTCTTCAGTTAAAGGAAAATTGGTTTGGAGGCAACAATCTGCATTCTTTTCTATCAACCTCCTTTCCATCAACAACCACCCCATTCCTTCTTTTAATTTGAGAAAAGCATACTAATCATCAGCGTCAGACAATAACATTGGCTGAGTTCTTGCTTTTTAAAGTGTACCATGCATCATGAATACTTTGTTCGAAGAGAGATGGGTTACCAACACCAGTATAATCAACCAGGACCTAAAAATTAGGCAAGGGGCTGGGAGTAAGAATAAGAATGAGAGGTAACAGGAAGAAGGAGTGAAAAAAAGGAGAGGAAAATCCTCTTTCCCATTTTCCTAGTATTATCATGAATTTTGGTTAAGCTACAGTTTTATACTTTGGTAGAAAATGTTGCAGTTTATAGAAGTCAGGAAATAGAAATGACAAAATAACAACATATTGGTTACAGCTATGTGTGACTCATGTCTTAATGGCCCATCAAAATATTCCAGAATAACAAATAATTATGCGCCCTCTCTTATTTTGTGAATTGCATTCACTGCCATTTTCTTATTACTGCACTTACCTCAGTAATGTATTCATCATGCTCATCGAAAGGTTTTCCATCCTTCCTGTTGTAAAATGTAGCCACTCCCACAATGTCTTCTTTCTTGTTGACAATAGGCAGGGACAAAACATTCTTAATGACCCAGCCAGTTTCATCTACAGGTCCTTTCTACAAATGAGAAGGGACCTCAAGTTATTATTATTATTATTATTTTTGCCTTTTCATTTTGAAGTAATCATAGATTCACAGGATATTGCAAAAGAAATGTACAGTTTCCAGGTGCCCTTCACCCAGTTTCACCCAATGGTAACTGTGTTTACACAACTATAGTACATTTTCCACTGTCTTGTGTAACTATAGTACAATATCAAAACCAGAAAACAGACATTGTACAATCCAGAACTGATTTGGATTTTACTAGATTTGTATGCACTTACTTGTGCATGTATATGTGTGTGTATGTGTGTACATATCGTTCTATGCAAATTTATCCCTTGTGTAGATTTTCAACCACCTTTAGAATCAGGATAATACACTATTCCATCACTACAGGACTCCCCTGTACTTCCTCCCTGATAGCTACCACCCATCCGTCACTTAGTTTATTTTTATTTAAAGAAAGAGGCCAGGCACAGTGGCTCACACCTATAATCCCAGCACTTTGGGAGGCCAAGGCGGGAGAATCACCTGAGGTTAGGAGTTTGAGACCAGCCTGGTCAACATGGTGAAACCCTGTCTCTACTGAAAATACAAAAATTAGCCAGGTGTGATAACACACGCCTATAATATCAGCTACTTGAGAGGCTGAGGCAGGAGAATCGCTTGAACCCAGGAGGCAGAAGCTGCAGTGAGCTGAGATTATGCCACTGCACTCCAGCCTGGGCAGCAGAGTGAAACTCTATCTCCAAAAAAAAAAAAAAAAAAAAAAGAATAATCATTGGGTATTAGATGTGGCAATTCCTACTTCGTGTCAGAACATGCTAGGACCATACAGCCATTATACATACTCTAGCACATCCAATGGTGTGAACTAGAACCAAGTGTATGTTTTCTGACAATTTTAACCTTTTCCTTTTCTTTCCCAAGCTTTGGGGATGGGAAGTGCTTCTTACCCTATGTTACCTCACTGTTCCCTTTACACTTTTTCTGTCTTCCAACACCTGTTTAGCTAATTCCTTATATAAAATTCTGTTGAAATATGAGTGTGGTTTTTGTTTTTCTGACTCATCCATCAAGATAGTCTTTCATTCTGTGGTGTGTTGAGTAAACATTTGTCAAGCCTCTATGGTATGCCAGGAACTGGGCCAGTTGCTGAAGGTACAAAAGAGAACAAATCACAGGTGTTGCCCTCAAGATGCTTAGGGTCTAGTGGAGGGATGCAGGCACAGAAGTTTAGGAGTGTTTCTCAAAGTGTGGTCCGAGGACCATGTGCAACTGGTTTGTTTTAGCTTATTTCATTATCTTTGGGCATGCATTTTTTTTTCTTTCTTTCTTTTTTTTTTTTTTTTTTTGAGACAGGGACTTACTATGTCACCCAGGCTGGAGTGTGATCTCGGCTCACTGCAACCTCTGCCTCCCAGGTTCGAGTGATTCTCCTGCCTCAGCCTCCTGAGTAGCTGGGATTACAGGCCTGTGCCACCCCACCTGGCTAATTTTTGTATTTTTAATAAAGACGAGGTTTTACCATGTTGGCCAGGCTGATCTTGAACTCCTGACCTCAAGTGATCCACCCACCTCAGCCTCCCAAAGCGCTGTGATTACAGGCATGAGTCAGCATGCCTGGCCTGGCCGTGCATCTTCAGTAAGCTTCCCAAGTAATTCTGATGAGCTCTGAAGTGTGAGAACCATGATTATCATTTGCATAGTATATAGCTAAGGCAAGGATAGATAAGAACTCAACACACCATATTATTTGTTCTTTAAGACTTCCCTTGGCTTATTTAGTCATCCTCGCAGGCCCCTGGTAAGTCTTGACTCTTCCTTGAAGCCTTTTCTAACTTTTCTAATGATAACAGAACTTTTCATTTTTGGAATTCCAACTGCACTTATAGCCTGAACCACAATTTAGCATTTAGACTGAGGATGTAATAGGTGCTCAATCTAAGTAACCTGTTTACTACTTATGACTAGTCTTTTTATGTGGAATGAAAAGCAGACAAACCAAACCTCAATGTCTGTGTCCTGATGGCCAAAGCTTTAAGAAAAAAAAAAAAAAAAAAAGATGCAGTGCATAGTGTTTGCAAAGCGTGCATCTTTGGAAAACACTGAGAAATATTTATGTACTTATACCATCATACGGACCAAAGGCAAAATCAGTAATAGGAAATATATCACATGTGTGCAAAAGAACTTCATGCATATTTGTTAAAGCTTCCAAAATAAGCTTTGCTGACTGCTTCTCAGTATTTCAGGAAATACGCATTTGCTACCAGTTCATATTCATGTATTTTGCCATTAGCTAGAGCTTGTAGACAGACCAGTGGCAGAAGGAACCTAAGGTTTAAGAAAAGTTGGTAGGACAAAAAACAGAGGAAATTCTACGCACTTTTCCCCTTGTGAATTGGGTTCATTTTTTTTTTATTGCATTTTAGGTTTTGGGGTACATGTGATGAACATGCAAGATTGTTGCATAGGTACACACATGGCAGTGTGCTTTGCTGCCTTCCGTCCCCTCACCTGTATCTGTCATTTCTCCCCATGCTATCTCTTCCCACCTCCCCACCCCCCGCCCCTCCCCCATTTCCCTCCAACGGACCCCAGTGTGTAGCGCTCCCCTCCCTGTGTCCATGTGTTCTCATTGTTCAACACGAATTGGGTTCATTTTAATTGATGTTAAAGGAAGACCCCTTAGTCCACTTCAAGAACACTATGGCAGGCAGAACAACTGTCCCCCAAAGATGTCTATACCCTAATCTCTGGAACCTGTAAATATGTTATCTTACCCAACAGAGGGGAATTAAGGTTGCAGATAGAATGGTGGTTGCTAATTAGCTGGCCTTAAGATGGGGAAATTAGCCTGGCTGTTCCAGGTGGACCCAATGTCATTACAAGGATCCTTAAAAGTGGAAAAGAGGTTGGAATCAGAATGGGAGGAGCTATGATGACAAAAGCAAGGTCAGAGTGGCGGCTGCTGCTGGCTTTGCCGGGGGAAGGGTCGCCAGGCAAGGAAGGCGGCAGCCCTGAGAAGCTGGAAAAGGTAAGAAAACGAATTCTCCCCAGAGCCTCCAGAAAGCAACAGAGTCCTGCCAGCTCCGTGATTTTAGCCCATTTGACCCATTTTGGAATTCTGACCTCCAGAACTGTGAGATAGTACATTTGTGTGATTTTAAACCACTCAGTGGCAATTCATGGCAGCAGGGATAGGAAACGAATCAATTGTGCCCACAAGGAACATAGTCTGAGAACCACTGCCTTTGCAGGTTTGCTCTGACGGCGGTTCTTTTTATATCATTGGCTTTTCCATCAAACTTCTCAGGTGCAAAAAGGAATCTAAGAATCAGAGTGGGGCCTGACCAGGGAGAGGGAGAATGGGAAGGCGGAGCACAAAAGGAGGGTGGTGGTTTGGGGAGGGCGGCCACCCCGCCCTAGTCTGCTCTGCAGAATGATGCCAGGTGATGCCAGTGAGGCGAAGTGGGGAGCGAGGCTGGGGGCCTGAGAGGGGCATCAGATAGAGATACAATCTCAACCTTGTGCTGTGCGAAGGAGAAACAGAAGAATGGAAGGTTGGGGGAGCCCCTTATACCACCCTGCTGCTCTGAAACCGTTTGCAGATCTGTTGGGCATTCCCAGGGACAATGCTACCTGGCTGGGGATCTGACTGTCTTCCAGGATCCGGCCTGCTTTACTGTCCCTGCCACACTCAGTTACCAGTTGGGAGTGGCCCATGGAGAGCATAGCCCCAGCACAGATGTGACCATGGATTTCAGACCAGCAGCCATTGCAGTTGCACTCCCACAGGTGGCGATCTAAAAAGCACGTTTTCATGGCACCACACTGATGTTTCCCAGAGAACTGGGAAATCCCTGTGGCCTAGAGGTTTATCCCACAATGGGGACTCCCCAAGACCCCAGGGAGGTCCCAGGCCTCCTTCTGCCCCCGTCATCAGAGCGCTTTTACAGCTGCTCCTGCAGTAACTGCAGTGGAGCATGAAAGCAAAGGGCCTCACATCTCACAGAGCTGCTGGGGTGCTCCTGGGCCAGCCCCATTCCACTCCCTGTTCAGACGATGACTGCCTACGGCTCAGACTTTGGAAAATCATTGTCTCCCTTTTGCTGGCTGTCATCCTATCCTGACATCCACCTGCCATAAATATAGGGATCAGGGCTGGGCACAGCGTGGTCACAAATAAGCTTCAATTGCAAAGAGGAAGGAACTAGAGCAACCATATGGTGTTTACATGTTTTCCATGTCAGTAAGCAAAGGGAGAAGCAGGCAGATGCATGGCACGAAGCAAGCGTGTACAGATTTCCCCGAGGCATGGTGTGGTTCTGCAGCTAAGGAGGCATGCTACAGCCTGGGGAAGGCTGGCTTTTCCAGAGAGGCAGAGATGGGGCTCTGTGTGCAAGAGACAGAAGGGCCCGACGGTACCCACCGGGGAAGGCAGTCTCTATTCCAGACTGAGATCAAGGCTCTAAGGGGATGTTTTTAAAATGCAGGACACAGAACAACAAGTGCCCAGAGGCAGAAAAGAAGAGGCTGCAGAGCCAAATGCCAGTTTATCTCCAACAGTCAGGTTGGGAGGAGGTGACAGCTGGGGAGTGAGTGGGTGGCAGAGATGACAAGTAAGGAGAGATGGACAGGTGGACGGGAGTGACAGAGATGACAGGTGAGGAGTGACAGAGATGACAGGTGAGGGGTGACAGGTGGGGAGAGGTGGTAAAGACCACAGGCTGGCCCTTCTGGTGGGCTGGATGAACTCGGGGAGGGGAGGGATCAACTCCGGGTCTGTAGCCAGGTTCCAGCAGGAAGCCCTAATGCGGGAGAAGTGTGTCCGCTAGAGGAGCACATACAGAGGCTGATTCCCGGGAGTATCTGGTGGAGAGTGGAGGCAGATTCCCCAGGCAGGGCGTTTCTGCACAGTGGAGAAGGAAGGATACAACCAAGTCTAACAGCAAGAGAAGCTCTAAGGACTCAATCAGAATTGTTGATTTTCCTGAGAGCAGTTGCAATAAGCCGCAGGGAAGGGCTCCTGAGGAAACCATCAGGAGAGGTGGATTCAGGCTATAGGATGTAGCCAGCCAGTCATGCATGCAGAGAATGTTTATTGAGCAGGAATACTGGGCGAGGCACTGTTGCTGCTTTCAGATCGGAGTCCCCAAACCCTGGGCTGCAAACCAGTACTGACCCATAGCCTGTCAGGAACCAGGCTGTGCAGCAGGAGGTGAGCAGGCGGTACTTGGCTGAAACTGTATTTACAGTCACTCCCCATTGCTCACATTACCGTCTGAGCTCCTGCCTCCTGTCAGATCAGCAGCAGCATTAGATTCGCATAGGAGCGTGAACCCTACTGTGAACTGCGCATGTGAGGGATCTGGGTGGTACACTCCTTATGAGAATCAAATGCCTGATGATCTGAGGTGGAACAGTTTCATCCCAAAACCGTCTCTCACACCACCCCCATTCTGTGGAAAATTGTCTTCCACAAAACTGGTCCCTGGTGCCAAAAAGTGGGGACCACTGCCCCAAATGACCAGGAGTGTGATCAAATGGGGGAGTGGCAGGTCCCCTCCCTGGCCTTCTGTCTGATCTTTCTTTTCCTTACTAGCCTCTTCTTCCTTCACTGAAGAATCTGCTACTTGCTGGCCCAGCCAGGGTGAGTGGCCTGTGCGTACCAGTGGCCAACCTGAGCATCAGGCAGACTGGGAGGGTAGAGCGGAGGCAAGAGCATCCACCCCCGACCCCAGCCCTGAGAGGCGAGGCCTGACCCAGAGTGCAGTTACCTGAAATGTGAAGTATTCATCTGCAGGGGCATTCATCATGTTACAGATCTGGAAGGCAAGAGGAGACAAAAGTTCTGAAACATTGTGTGGTGGAGCCCTCTCAACCACAAAGCAGAATAAGAAAGAGCACATGGGGAGTAAGGATTTCCTACTCTGCTCTTGACTGCTTGCAGGCAAATGGACCTCAGCTTGGCCACAGCCACTAACAGCTCATTCAAGACAGTTTCTCTGCTGCTAACACTGTAGGATATGTGGTACCATCTCTGCTCCTTCCCACTCCCCCAGACTCTAGGAAATCCTCTTCAAATTTAAAGCAACAGGCTGCTCAGGCCAAGGAGAGGAGAAAACTGAGAAATTCAAGCTCTGCTAGAGCAAGTATGAGCAGCAGAGCTAGGACTGCTTTTCTTCTTCTTCCTGAAGTAAGATTTGGGTTAGGAGATGATGGCTAAGGGGCAGGAGGAAAAAGCCAGATAGGTTTTTAGTTACACCAAAGTAAGGATTCCGTGAGAGATATCACTTTAATTACTGAAATTGACAGACTTATTGCTGACATCTATAAGGAAAAGAAATCATTCCATTTTGAGTCATTTTAAGTTTTCTGTACCTTAGGCCATACTCACAAATGGATCCTAATAAAAGACCATGTCTTTCTATGAGATACTTAAAATTAGAGTATTTCATTTTATTTTATTTTTATTTTTTTGAGATGGAGTATTTTCTCTATTCCCGAGGCTGGAGTGCAATGGTGCAATCTCGGCTCACTGTAAGTTCCGCCTGCTGGGTTCAAGCGATTTTCCTGCCTCAGCCTCCCAAGTAGCTGGTATTATAGGCACCCACCACTGCACCCAGCTAATTTTTGTATTTTTAGTAGGGACGGGGTTTCACCATGTTGGCCAGGCTGGTCTCAAACTCTTTTTTATTGTTATTATTACTTACTCATTTATTTTTGGTGAGAAGCAGCCTCCTCTGCTGCCGCAGTATTCTTTTTATTTATTTATTTATTTAACTTTAGATGCATACTATATCTGGCATTTCTGCACATGTTATCCCTCGCCACCCTCCCCTCCCTCCCCCCCACCGCTGTCTCTCCCCCACCCCCCGCATCTGCCCCCAGTGTGTGATGCTCCTCTCCCTGAGTCCACGTGTTCTCGTTGTTCAACACCCACCTATGAATGAGAACATATCATGTTTGGCTTTCTGTTCTTGTGTCAGTTTGCTGAGAATGATGGTTTCCAGATTCATCCAAGTCCCTGCAAAGGACACGAACTCATCGTTTTTTATGGCTGCATAGTATTCCATAGTGTATATGTACCACATTTTCTTTGTCCAGCCTATCATTGATGGGCATTTGGGTTGGTTCCAGGTCTTTGCTATTGTACACAGGACTGCAGTGAACATATGTGTGCATGTGTCTTTATAGTAGAATGATTTATAGTTCTTTGGGTATATATAGTATATACCCAGTAATGGGATTACTGGGTCAAATGGAATTTCTATTTCTAGATCCTTGAGAAATCACCACACTGTGTTCCACAATGGTTGAACTAATTTACACTCCACCAACTGTGTAAGAGTGTTCCTGTTTCTCCATATCCTCTCCAGCATCTGTTGTCCCCAGATTTTTTAATGATCGCCATTCTAACTGGTGTGAGATGATATCTCAGTGTGGTTTTGATTTGCATTTCTCTAATGACCGGTGATGATGAGCATTTTTTTCATATGTTTGTTGGTCTCATATATGTCTTCTTTTGAAAAGTGTTCTTACCCTTCTCCCACTTTTGAATGGGGTTGTTTTTTTCTTGTATATCTGTTTTAGTTCTTTGTAGATTCTGGATATTAGCCCTTTGTCAGATGGGGAGATTGCAAAAATTTTTCCCATTCTGTTGGTTGCCAATTTGCTCTAATGATGGTTTCTTTCGCTGTACAGAAGCTCTGAGTTTTAATTAGATCCCATTTGTCTATCTTGGCTTTTATTGTCATTGCTTTCGGTGTTTCAGTTATGAAGTCTTTGCCTATGCCTATGTCCTGGATGCTTTTGCCTACGTTTTCTTCTAGTGTTTTTATGGTGTTACGTTTTATGTTTAAATCTTTAATCCATCTGGAGTTAATTTTAGTGTAAGGTGACTGGTAGGGGTCCAGTTTCTGCTTTCTGCACATCGCTAGCCAGTTTTCCCAACACCATTTATTAAACATGGAGTTCTTCCCCATTGCTTGTTTTTGCTGGCTTTGTCAAAGATCAGATGATTGTAGATGTGTGGTGTTTCTTCTGACGTCTCTGTTCTGTTCCATTGGTCTATGTCTCTGTTTTGGTACCAGTACCATGCTGTTTTGATTACTGCAGCCTTGTAGTATAGTTTGAAGTCCAGCAGTGTGATGCCTCTGGCTTTGTTCTTTGTGCTTAGGATAGTCTTGGCTGTGTGGGCTCTCTTTTGATTCCATATGAAGTTTAAAGTGTTTTTTTCCAGTTCTGTGAAGAAAGTCACTGGTAGCTTGATGGGGATAGTGTTGAATCAGTAGATTACTTTGGGCAGTATGGCCATTTTCATGATATTAATTCTTCCTAACCATGAGCATGGAATGTTTCTCCATATGTTTTTGTCCTCTCTGATTTCATTGAGCAGTGGTTTGTAGTTCTCCTTGAAGGGGTCCTTTACATCCTTTGTTAGTTGTATTCCTAGGTATTTTATTCTCTTTGTAGCAATTGCGAATGGGTGTTAGCTCTTGATTTGGCTCTCTGTTTGTCTGTTATTGGTATATAGGAATGCTTCTGATTTCTGCACATTGATTTTGTATCCTGAGACTTTGCTGAAGTTGCTTATCAGTTTGAGAAGATTTTGGGCTGAGACAACGGGATCTTCTAGATGTACAATCATGCCATCTGCAAATAGAGACAGATTGACTTCCTCCTTTCCTAATTGAATACCCTTTATTTCTTTTTCTTGCCTGATTGCTCTGGCTAGAACTTCCAATATTATGTTGAATAGGAGTGGTGAGAGAGGGCATCCTTGTCTAGTGCCTGATTTCAAAGGGAATTCTTACAGCTTTTGCCCATTCAGTATGATATTGGCTGTAGGTTTGTGAAATATACCTTTTATCATTTTATGATACATTCCATCAATAACTGGTTTATTGAGAGTTTTTAGCATGAAAGGCTGTTGAATTTTATTGAAGGCTTCTCTGCATCTATTCAGATGTGGTTTTTCTCTTTCATTCTGTTTATGTGATGGATTATATTTATGGATTTGTGTATGTTGAACCAGCCTTGCATCCCTGGGATGAAGCCTACTTAGTTGTGATGGATAAGCTTCTTGATGTGCTGTTGCAATCTGTTTGCCAGTATTTTATTGAAAATTTTTGCATCAATGTTTATCTTGGATATTGGCCTGAAGTTTTCTTTTTTAGTTGAGTCTCTGCCTGGTTTTGGTATCAGGATGATTTTGGTCTCATAAAATGAGTTAGGGAGGATTCTCTTCTTTTGTATTGTTTGATACAGTTTCAGAAGGAATGGAAGCAGCTTCTCTTTGTACTTCTGGTAAAATTCTGCTGTGAACCCATCTGGACCTGGACTTTTTTTGGTTGGTAGGCTATTGATTGCTGCCCCTACTTCAGCCCTTGTTATTGGTCTATTCAGGGTTTCAACTTCCTCCTGGTTTAGTCTTGGTACAGGTGTCCAGGAATTTATCCATTTCTTCCTGGTTTACTGGTTTATGTGCATAGGGCTGTTTGTAGTAATCTCTGATGATAGTTTGTATTTCTGTGGGATCAGTGGTGATATCCCCTTTATCGTTTTTTATTGCATCTGTTTGATTCGTCTCCCTTTTCTTTTTTATTAATCTGGCTAGCAGTCTGTCTATTTTGTTGATCTTTTCAAAAAACCAGCTCCTGGATTTATTGATTTTTTGGAGGGTTTTTTTGTGTCTCTATCTCCTTCAGTTTTGCTCTGATCTTAGTTATTTCTTGTCTTCTGCTAGCTTTTTAGTTTTTTTGATTTTGCTTCTCTAGCTCTTTCAATTTTGATGATAGGGTGTCAATTTTAGATCTTTCCTCTCTTCTCTGGTGGGCATTTATTGCTATAAATTTCCCTCTCGACACTGTTTTAAAGGTGTCCCAAAGATTCTAGTAAGTTGTGTCTTTATTCTGGTTGGTTTCGAAGAACTTCTTTATTTCTGCCTTCATTTCATTGTTTATCCAGTCGACACTCAGAAGCAAGTTGTTCAGTTTCCAAGTGGTTGTGTGGGTTTGAGTGTGTTTCTTGATCCTGAGTTCTAGTCTGATTGTGCTGTGGTTTGATAGACTGTTATGATTTCTATTCTTTTGCATTTGCTGAGGAGTGATTTGCTTCCAATGATGTGGTCAGTTTTAGAGTAAGTGCAATGTGGTGCTGAGAAAAATGTATATTTTATGGATTTGGGGTGGAGTCTTCTGTATATGTCTATTAGGTCCGCTTGGTCCAGCTCTGCATTCAAGTCCTGGATATCCTTGTTAACTTTCTGTCTCATTGATCTGTCTAATATTGACAGTGGAGTGTTGAAGTCTCCCATTAGTATTGTGTGGGAGTCTAAATCTCATTTTAGGTCGTTAAGAACTTGCTGTATGTATTTGGGTGCTCTTGTGTTGGGGGCGTATATATTTAGGATACTTAGCTCTTCCTGTTGGAAGACCCTTTTACCATTATATAGTGTCCTTCTTTATCTCTTTTGATTTTTGTTGGTTTGAAGTCCATTTTGTCAGAGACTAGGATTGCAACCCCTGCTTTTTTTTTGTTCTTCATTTGCTTGGTAAATCTTCTTCCATCCCTTTATTTTGAGTCTATGTGTGTCTTTGTATGTGAGATGGGTTTCCTGAATACAGCACACCAATGAGTTTTGACTTTTTATCCAGTTTGCCAGTCTGTGTCTTTTGATTGGGGGGTTTAGGCCATTTACATTCAATGTTAATATTGTTATGTGTGAATTTGATCCTACCATTTTGTTACTGGCTGGTTTTCTTTCCCATTAGTTGACTCATTTTCTTCATTGCATTTTTGGTCTTTGCCAACTGGTTTGCTTTTGCAGTGACTGGTACTTCTTCCTTTCCATGCTTAGTATTTCTTTCAGGAGCTCTTGTAGGGCAGGTCTGGTGTTGACAAAATCTCTCAGTAATTGCTTGTCTGTAAAGGATTTTATTTCTCCTTCACTTACAAAGCTTAGTTTGGCTGGATATGAGATTCTGGGCTGAAAGTTCTTTTCTTTAAGGATGTTGAATGTGGGCCCCCACTCTCTTCTGGCTTGTAGGGTTTCCACCGAGAGATCCTCTGTAAGTCTGATCGGCTTCCCTCTGTGAGTGACCCGACCTTTCTCTCTGGCTGCCCTTAGCATTTTTTCCTTCATTTCAACCCTAGTGAATCTGACAATTATGCGCCTTGGGGTTGCTCTTCTTGAGGAATATCTTTGTGGAGTTCTCTGTATTTCTTGAATTTGAAATTTGGACCGCCTTGCTAGGCTTGGGAAGTTTTCCTGGATAATATCCTGGAGTGTGTTTTCCAGCTTGGATTCATTCTCCCCATCATACTCAGGTACACCAATCAAGGGTAGATTCGGTCTTTTCACATAATCCCATATTTCTCGGAGAGTTTGTTCATTTCTTTTCACTGTTTTTTCTCTTGTCTTGCCTTCTCTTTTTATTTCATTGAGTTGATCTTCAACCTCTGATATCCTTTCTTCTGCTTGATTGATTCAGCTATCAAAACTTGTGTTTGCAGCCGGGTGCGGTGGCTCAAGCCTGTAATCCCAGCACTTTGGGAGGCCGCGGCGGGTGGATCACGAGGTCGAGAGATCGAGACCATCCTGGTCAACATGGTGAAACCCCGTCTCTACTAAAAATACAAAAAATTAGCTGGGCATGGTGGCACGTGCCTGTAATCCCAGCTACTCAGGAGGCTGAGGCAGGAGAATTGCCTGAACCCAGGAGGCAGAGGTTGCGGTGAGCCGAGATTGCGCCATTGCACTCCAGCCTGGGTAACAAGAGCGAAAACTCCGTCTCAAAAAAAAAAAAAAAAATTGTGTTTGCTTCATGTAGTTCTTGTGCTGTGTTTTTCAACTCCATCAAGTCATTTATGTTCTTCTCTAAGCTGGTTATTCTAGTTAGGATTTCGTCTAACCTTTTTTCAAGGTTTTTGGTTTCTTTGCATTGAGTTAGAACGTGTTCCTTTAGCTCAGAAAAGTTTGTTATTATCCACCTTCTGAAGCCTGTTTCTGTCAATTTGTTGCACTCCTTCTTGGTCAAGTTGTGATCCTGTGTTATTGAGGAGTTGTGATCCCTTAAAGGAGAAGAGGTGTTCTGGTCTTTGATGGTTTCATCTTTTTTGCATTTTTCCCCCCCATCTTTGTGGATTTACCCGGCTGTGGTGTCAGGGAGCTGCTTGATGAGGTTGCTTGTCTGCCTGTGGAGGTGCTACTGGGTTTCTAGGGACTCCTTCAGGTTACTAGAGAAGCTTCCTGTGTCCTTTTTATTTATACTGGGAGATTAGGCCTGCCTCCTCACCTCTTTGGCTGACTTGTAGGGTCTGCTGGGTTGTCAAGAATGCTGTCCATTGCTACGTAGGCTTCCTGTGTTTTTTGTTAAAACATGTAGCCCAGTCCCACCCCTCTAGTGGTGGGTTGTACCGTTCCTCCACTGGGCTGGATTATTCAGGGTTCATCTCAGACTCTGGCACTGGCTGTGCAACCCACTAGAGTCAGAGTTTCAGCCCTCTAGAGTTTATGGGGGAGGGTAGGGACCCACCCAGCTGCACCTGGCCATCTCCCCCTTTCAGCTTCCTCTCTTTCTGGTCATGGGGTAGGGGCCTGCCCAGCTGCTCCTGCTTACAGCTCCCTCTCTCTCTGAGCGTGGGGAGGGGGCAATAGCTCAGTCTGCAGGCTCTCCCAGCCTCCTTTTGGGCTTATATGTCTGTTTAGGTCTGTGCGCCAATCTGGGACACCGTCCTGGATTATTATTCAACTCCGCACTTGTAATTCCCGGTGCTTGACTAGCAAAGATCCCCTGTTCTGTGTATTGCTGAGGCTTTGGGGGAAGCACTATATCTGGACCAGAGTGCCAGAGGGGGAGCCTCCAACTCACTGGTCAGATTCACTTCCTGGGTGAAGCAGCACCCCTCCCTGCCTCAGTCTGCCCTGAGTGGGCTTTGCTTACCGTTGGACCAGACCCATTGAAATGCACCTGGTAACTCCATTGGAGCTAGGAGATCTCTGGATTTCTGCATCTCTCTTGCTGGGTGTTGTGTGCTGGACTTGTATCTATTCAGCCATCTTGGATCCTCCTCAAACTCTTGACCTCCAGTGATCCACCCGCTTCAACTTCCCAAAGTGTTGGGATTACAGGCATGAGCCACCGCACTCAGAAATCAGCATTTTAAAGCCAGAAGGGATCTTGGCGATTAAATTCACACTTTTTATCTTAAAAATGAAGAAATGGAAGCCTAAAGAAGTTAAGTGATTTGTTTAAATCCATGGGCTGGAACTAGAACTGTGATCTCCAGAGAGGGTGCTGGGGAAATCAGCTCCCTTGGCCGGGAATTGGTGAAAGCCCTGGCTTGTATCAGTTGCCAATTTCCATGGTCCCAATTCTCCCACCATGGGAGATTTCAAGCTGCCAACAGTTTAACAACTTGCTCACAAAAGTCCTAAAAAACTAACAATCTAAGGAGATCCAAGTGGGCTCCTTCCTTAAATCCCTACCTCACCAAACTCCTTCTGCCTCTCGGCCCCAAGGTAAGTGCTTTTGAAGAATAACTGAATGAATCACGTCTACTCTTTTTGTACTACTCTTACAAAGAAAACACGACAATCTCTCAAAGTTTTTATAAGCATATATAGCCTAAGAATTTAAGGAATCTTTTCTGCCATGCATTAATTCATATCTAACTTGAATAAATTACATCATTTGATGGGCCGAGCATCCTTTATCTGTGCTTTTGAAGAGGCAAAAAGCAGCTTATTCGTCTTTTTTGACCTTTCCATCAGCAGTGTCTGTTTCAGTCCTTTCTTTGAAGAACATTATGTTCTAAATGTTGTAAGAACATTGACAGGTGGATCAAGACAGAGGCCCAGGCTTTTAGCCCAATATTCAAAAGTTCCACCTCCCACATCATCCCCACCTATCCCCCTCATTTATACTTTAAAAAATTGAATGAGCTACTTGAGATAGACTTAAACCTAGTCATTAAATCATAGTCATTGGCTTCCAAAAAATGTCTGAAATGTGTGTGGCTGCAGAATAAGAAACTGAGGGATGGAGGAATCTTTCTCATGTTGACTAAATATTTTTGTGTAGAGTTCAGAAGTTTTCCAGTTAACCAACATTTGACTGTCAAGATTCTTCTCTTCTTTCTCCTATGCCAAAGGAAGTGGTCATCTCACTTTTATTGGATGCATTCTTGCTTTCACAATTGTATCTATATCTTAGCTAATAAGAGTTTCATGCAATAGTATTTAAAGTTTGAATTTGTTCAGTAACTTACAAATCCATTTTCAGCAACATATGTTGGCAACCCACTAACGAGTGTCCAGTGGTCTGCAGGAGGCGTCCTTGGGGAAGAGAGGAAAGAAAATCATTGCAATATAGAGAAATGCAATGTGTGCAAAAATAAAATGGCAACTGAAGCAGCAACTTCCCATCAATACTCACGGGATCACTTTGATCTCTTCTTTTCCATGTAAAATGTAATCAATGATTTTATAAAAGTTGACTTCCTAAGAAAAAAAAGAGGATATTATGGGAATAATGTTATTTCCCAAAGAAATCATTTTTCATTGGGAAACTTGTACTTTAAAACTCTTGCAAATAGAACCTTATTTCCCAACCACATTCTATTGAAACATAAATGATCAAACTACTTATATCCTGACTACAAACTTACAGTAAAACCAGAACTATTATTGGCTGTTTATCTACAGGCACAAAGCTAAAGTAAATTTTGTTTTTAAGCAGTTTAATTGCCTCACATAGCTTTTGGGATGGGGGGAATCTTTAGCTACCAAATCATCAGAGAATCTGTTTTTACTTTCAAGTGATGCCTTTTGTTGTCAAGAAATACCTGACATTAATAACGTCACTAGGACAAATCACATAATTTCTCAACTGCAGTCAGTTGTGCATCATATATAGTGAGCCCATATCTATATCTTAGCTAATAAGATAAGCTAAGTGACTTATCTGAACAGGTGTCTCAGAAACAGGAGGTTACATTGCCAAAGGTGAAAGGGACTAGAGAATTATTCTCTCTGTTTCATGGGGAAGATGATGAACCTGAGGCCTAGACACATTTCATCCCCTTGACTTCTCTTTCCTGTGTGCTCTGGACACAGGGGTTCCTGCCCTCATGAAGTTTGCAGTTAAGGGGAAAGTAAACCTAACCCAAGCCTTCCTTGGAGATTCTAATCCCACATATCTGAAGAAGGGCCCAGGTACTTCTTTAAAATATTGTGCTGGTGGCTCTGATGCATTCCTCCCTGTTGAGAACCACTAGCCTACCAAGCCCTGGCTTCATAGGAAAGGAAATGGAGAGGCTTAACAATGAGTTAAGGCAAGAGCCAGTCAGCTCTGGCTTGGGGCAGAGCTGGGACTAGAACCTCAAACTCCTTGTCTAGCGCTGTTTCTACTACTCCAGGCCTTCTCAGGCCAGTGCTCCTTCCTCTATGCACTGTGGCCTCTTAGTTTTAGCACCTGATACCACACACAGACAGCATCAAGGAAGACATTTGCACATACCCTGCCATCAGGTGTCTTTGGACCTTTATAAGGCTCTACTTCTCCAAGCTTGATTGGCCATTCATCGTAGAATTCCTGGAGGCAATGAGATTTAAATGTTATTAAATACAATGTTCCATGACCTACCATATCTTATATGAATTTTATGTGTTTGTATATTTTATGTTAATCTACGTAGTTCTGGAATTTTAGTGCTGAAAGATCTATAATTCCCAACAATACTGCTTAGGAATTTTTGATTGCGAACAAACCACTTAAACTTTTAACTCTGTGAAATAGGGATAACAGTAGAATTTGTACTAAAGAATTGTTGTGAGGATTAAATAAATAATACATAGCAAACATCTATCCTGGCACAGCGTTCAAAGTACTCGATGTACAGCATTTCTTTCATAGATAATTTAACTAAATCTGGTTTGATTCAGAGGGTTGGCCAAGGTCACACAGAGTGGCCAAGTGTTGGTTGCTTTACCCAGCATCAATTCTCCTTTTTTCCTTGCTGGCATAACCTGATATGATGTGGGTATCAGGTGGTAATTTTCCATCAGACCACAGCCCACAAGTGGTCTACATGAGGTGCCTAGATCAGTTTGAGGGCAGGTATGCGGCCCAGCTCTGGACAACGAAGAAGGGGGAGAAGTCTGCTGAGGGACTCCTGGGGAAAGGTATTCCTCAGATGAAAGCTGATGAGAGTGACATTTGGAGGAAACACCTCCCAGTTGTGTCATGACTGTGTGCCATGATTTGAGCTGCAACAGCCATCTTTCCACCATAGAGGAGGCCTCACCAACATGCTGCAGGTAGCAAGACTTTGCCAGGAAGAAGGAGAAGGCACCTGGACTTTCATGACTGCACTGATCTCTGAATCAACCAGTACTAGCGCTGCCCTACCTTGTTAAGGGGGAAACTAAACATCATATTGTTAGAGATACTTTTAGCTGTGTCTGATGTTTCTTATAGTCAAAAGAATCCTAACCAACATACTCAGCTAGAAAGTCCCAGAACCAAGATCAGAACCCAGCAATCCTAGTACTTCATCCTATGTTTATCCACTTAGAACAATTACTCTGAAAAAAATAACTTTCAATCACATGGATATTAAAAAATATAAATAAGGTTAGGTGCAGTGGCTCATGCCTGTAATCCCAGCACTTTGAGAGGCTGAGGAGGGCAGAACATTTGAAGACAGGAGTTCGAGACCAGCCTGGCCTACATGATGAAACCCTGTCTCTACTAAAAATACAAAAAGTGAGTAGGCATGTGGTACAGGCCTGTAATCCCAGCTACTGAGGCAGGAGAATCGCTTGAACCTGGGAGGCCGAGGTTACAGTGAGCCAAGATCATGCCACTGCACTTCCAGCCTGGTGACAGAGTGAGACTCTGTCCCCACCACTCAAAAAAAGAAAAGAAAAAATATATAAATAATATGGTATCATTAGTTATTTTGAACTAGAGGGGTACCAACAGAATTAAAGAAGATGAGACAAGGGCATTATTGTGAATAATATTAAATGTTTCAATATTTTTACTTTAAAATAATTAAATTTTTTTAGACTACAAAACTTCAAGTTGGTAAAGATAATATTGATTATGCACCTACTATGTAAATTCTAGACACCACATATAGCATTTATAGATATATCTTACTGTGGTTGCTTCTAATATTTAGTAATTGTGAATAAAGCTACCGTAAACATTTTGATATGTATTATTTATTTAATCCTCATGACAATTCTTTAGTACAAAATCTACTGTTATCCCTGTTTTACAGACTTAAAAGTTTAAGTGATTTGTTCACAGTCAAAAAATATATGTAAGATGTATATGTAAACACTATGTGTGTGTATATATATATATATATATATATATAATCTCTAATTCTCACAATCAATAAGAGAGATGTTCTCATTTTACAGATGAAGAAACCAAATATCAGGTAGTTCAAAAGACTTGCTGGCAAGAAGAACAAAGTCAAAGAGCTGACACTACCTGACTTTAAGATGTGCCTTAAAGCCGCAATAATCAAGACAGTGTGGTATTAATGAAAGGATGGACAAATGAATCAATGGAACAAACTAGAGAACCCAGAAATAGACTCTCACAAATATAGTCAACTTTGACAAAGAAACAAAGGCAATAAACAAAGAATAGTCTTTTCAACAATTTGTGTGGGAACAACTGAATATCTACATGTAAAAAAAAGTGAATCTAGAAACAGAATTTGTACCTTTCACAAAAAATAACTCGAAATGGATTATACACCTAAATGTAAAACACAAAAGTATAAAAATTCTAGGAGATGACATAGAAAATCTAGGTGAACTTGGGTTTGATGAGACTTCATAGATACAACACCAAAAGCACAATCCATGAAAGAAAAAATATTGAAAAATTGGACTTCATTAAAATTAAAAACTTCTGTTCTGCAGAAGACACTGTTAAGAGAACGAAAAAATAAGCCACAGACTGGGAGAAAGTATTTGCAAATCACATATTTGGTAAAGGACTGGGATTCATAATATACAAATAACTCTTATAATTGAATGATAAGAAAACAACATACTAAAAAGTGGGCAAAAGATCTGAGCAGATATCTCTCTAAGAAGATATACAGATGGCAAGTAAACATATGAGAGGATGCTGAACATCATATGTCATTGGGGAACTGCAAATTAAAACAACAGTGAGATACCACAACTAATACCCTAAATACTGACAGTAGCAACTGCTAATACCCAAAATACTGACATTAACAACTGCTGGTGAGAATGCAGCTGTTAGACATGCAAAACAGTAAAGTCACTTTGGAAGTCAGTCTGCCAGTTTCTTACACAGATCAATTAGTCTTACAATGTAATCCAGCAATTGCCCTCTTTGGTATTTACCCAATTGAGCTGAAAACGTATAGACACACATAAACCTGCTTTATTCACAATCACTAAATATTAGAAGCAACCAAGATACCCTTCAATAGGTGAATGTATAAACAAACTGCCATACGATGGAATATTATTCAGTGATAAAAATAAATTGAGTCATGAAAAGACATGGAAGAAACTTACATGCATATTTCAAAGTGAAAAACCAGTCTGAAAAAGCTATATACTGTATGATTCCAGCTATATGGCATTCTGGAAAAGGCAAAAACTATAGAAACAGTTAAAAAAAAATGGTGGCTACCAGGAGTTTGGAAAGGGTGAGGGAAGGTTGAATATGTGAAGCAGAGGACTTCTAGGCACTGGAACTAGTCTGTCTGATACTGTAATAGCAGATATATGACATTACGTGTTTGTCAAAACCCAGAGAACTGCACAAAGAATGAACCTTAATGTAAACTATGGACTTTAGTTAATAAGAATATATAGATAATGATTCATCACACCACACTAATCCAAGACGTTAATAACAGGGAAGCTGAGAGAAAGAGGAAACTCTGTACTTTCTAATCAATTTTTCTGTAAACCTAATACTACTCTAAAAATAAAGTCTGTTAATTAATGTAAAAAGAAAACCAGACTTGCTGAAGACTCATATTACTAGGAAGCGGAAAAACCAAGATTCAAGCCATCTTTGTTGCTCCAAGATACACATTTTTATCTCTGTTCTTGTGATCAATCATGACTAATCATTTACATAGTGTATCTATTTTTTTAAGGATCACATTTCCTGTGGTGTGTGTTTTATAGCTGATATTAGATGAGACAAAATGTATAGAACAATAAGAACCTTCTCCTTGGTCATGTCCAGCAGTCCAATGGAGTATCTTTCACAGTTCAGGTATGTTCTAACTGTGTAGAGAGCTTTGTGAAACTGTCGCTCAACATCTGTGAGTTCTTCAAATACTTTATTGGCTGACCACATAAGGATCTGAAAGTAGATATCAAAAACAAAACAATAAAGTATGCTATGGAGAGATGCAGCATTTGCTACAAGAAACCACAAGAGTTGCTACAAGCTTTATGTGAGAGCTAAAGACAAATAGTCACAACAACCATCTGAAGTAGGTACCATAATCGTCATCAGATAAAATGAATACATATCACTGGAAAATGCAATTCTGATTTTGAATATGTGTATGGCCGACAAACTACTCAGATCTTCTAGGTAAGATGGTGAGTAGACCTTTGCAAGGCTGTGGGTCTATGGGGAGAGAGAAGCCATGATTGGTTCCTATGTCTAAATGTTTTGGCTCCAAAGGGGAAGTGCCCTGAAATTGGATGCAGAGATGGTCCCTGGGTGGAGAATCTGGTATTGGTGGCCCACTGGCTCCTGCTGGCCCTCATGTGAAGACAGCCACATGCCTCCTTTCATGCATCCAGAGCTAGTTGGAGGTAATCTTACCTGGAGAGTTTGAGTGAGAAGGGACCTCCCTCTCAACCTCTACCCCTGCATTGTACTGGTGAGGAAACTGAGGTCCAGAGAGTGGGCCAGACTAAGGTATCTTGGCTACCAATATTGTTCTTTATTCCTCTGTCTCATGGAAGCAGGAATAACATGCTCCTCAAATTAATAGGTTTACTATGACCCAGGAGTTGCTAGAAGCTTTATGTGAGAGCTAAAGACAAATAGTCACAACAACCATCTGAAGTAGGTACCATAATCGTCATCACCATCTCATAGGCAGAAATGCCAAGACCACTCGGGATCTAGACCAAAGAAAGCCAAGACAGTTGTGCACACAGATGGAGAGCTTGGGGTGCAGGGGAGTGTGGGTGGGGACAGCAGCAGGAAGATCATGAGAGGACACCTGGGACAGAAGTTTGGGGATCTGCTCCACATGGCTTAAACCCCCAGGAGGGATAGGAGGGGTCTGAATTTGTTGTGTCTGGGTGCCTTTGTCAGAATAGGTCAGCGTGGAATGATTAATGTTGCCTTCCTTTTACCTGGCTTCTTCGGGATTCAATATTGTACATGTAGGTGGTATGATGAAGCTTTAGGATGACAGACACAAAGTTGAGGTATTTGGAAAAGACCTACAGGTGGCAGAGAAGAACAAGTTATGGTTGTGGCATCTTTTCTTAGGTTATACAACAACAAATAAATTTTCTGAGTCTCCAACCGGATGCCCAGGGTTAGCATTACCTCTTCATCCTGTTTGGAAAATTCAGATGCATTTACTTTGTTAAGTGCCATGATCACAGCAAGAACCTCCTTGCCCATCACGATCGGGGTTGCCAGCAGGTTCTTAGTGACATACCCAGTTTGCTTGTCCATGAAGTCAGAAAAATGACTGTTCTGAAAGAAATAGTCACACATTTGCCAAAGTGGCACAGAATCACAGAGTGGTAGATCTAGGGATGATGACAGATCATTCTCTCTCATTTAAATACTACCACCAGATAACCAGGGCTCCAGTACAGTGGTCCCCCACCAACAATCCCACTCCACCTGCCATCCTATGACTGCATGGAATGGAATTTCCCATTTCAGAATAAGCGCTTCCCACCTGAGCTATGGCCTGTCTAGGTTAGGCTGAGGTTGGGCCAGAAGAAAAGAGGTGATGAGTCAGCCAAGCGGAAAGGGAGGTGGTAAGAGGAAGAGGGGGAAGACGCAGGGTTAGGATAGACAGCAGGCGTGTACAGGGAAGGAGAGCACAGCTGGGAATACAGACACAGTTCCTAGAGTGCTTCTCTCTCACCACAAAGGAAAAGCATGCACTTGAAACCATCAACCCATATGTCCTAACATAAAGCCAAAATTCTCATTCCCCCCAGTTCCTTCAATCTAGCCTACTTGAGGAAATCTGTGCTAACTGCTGACGTGTCTCCTTCTATGCCTTTCTCTGTGCTTGAAGAAAGAGTTTTCCTGTCTATTTTTTCTAAGATTTCCTTTTCTAATTGCTTATAATAGTTTCATCACTTAACAATGTCTTATGGACTTCCCTGAAGACCAATGCATATAGATGTGAACTCACCTCTTAGATTCGTGCACACTATTCCACCCTGCATGCTCTATGACCCACTCAGTGGTCCTCTACTGATTCTGCCTGTTTATGGTTTTCCCCACTATCAGCAATACTGCACTAATCCTTCTTGCGTTTAGTTTTATGTGACAGATTCCCCAAAAAGGAAATCCCTTTTGCTGGATCAACAGGAACATGCACTTTTTTATTAAATATATTACTTTGATGGAAGGTTCACATTCTGAGGCTGGGCGCCATGGTTCACGCCTGTAATCCCAGCACTTTGGGAGGCTGAGGCAGGCGGATCCCCTGAGGTCAGCAGTTTGAGACCATCCTGGCCAACTTGATAAAACCCTGTCTCTACTAAAAATATAAAACTTAGCCAAGCATGGTGGCACACGCCTGTAGTCTCAGCTACTCGGGAGGATGAGGCAGGAGAGTCACTTGAACCCAGGAGATGGAGGTTGCCATAAGCCGAGATCATGCCATTATACTCTAGCCTGGGCAACAAGAATGAAACTCTGTCTTTAAAAAAAAGAAAAAGAAAGGTTCACATTCTTACTTCCGCTGACCCTGTGTGAGAGGACTGAGGACTACCCTCGTGCCAGCATCAGATGCTTAGCAGGTTTTTAATGTTCTACCAAGCTTATGTCTTTCATTCCTATTCTTTATTTCTTTCTTTGGGAGAGAGGAAAGTGGATCTTCCCAGATTCAGGCCTCATAGAGTAGATTCGAGAGATGATTTTAATCCACTGGCCACGGCAGAGACTGGGCGACGAGTCTAGAGAAGCGCACAAATGGAAGGGCTTGAGAAAAAGGTCGAGGAAGGCAATGATCTTATTAGCTATCACTTCAGAGAAGAGCCGCTCAAGGTGGGTGTAGACCCAGCCTTCCTTGGATCATGACATTCTTCCCTTTGAACCTAGGGAATGACTTCTTCAATTAGAACTGAACCTTCAGCCTTAACTCTCAGACTCGTTGGCCAAAATTAGTGTGGTATTCCCTCCGCAGTTGTATTCTTTTCATTTCCCTGTGTTGGCAGTGCTTCTAAAAGCAGCATGAACCTTGGAGACTGGATTCTGTCTGGGTTCCCAAAGTAAAAAAAAAGTGAGAATTTTCTGTGTGTCATTTCCAGACCAGAGTTTCCACCAGGGAACAAGGGCTGGTTGACCAATAGAACTCACAGAGCTCAAATGAGATTAGCAGTCCTGAGACATGCCTCAGAATCACCAGCAGATTAATGGAGCAGATGCACTGAATCCTGATCGCCTCCAGTGGAACCTGTGCTTTTAAGTGGCACAGGTCATTCTTAGGCTCAACCCAATGGGGACTCACTCCTGTGAAGGATCACCAGAAATGGTACTGCTCTCAGAATGAATGCAGCCTCTCACCCAGACCTCTTCCATACCTTTCTCAAAGTGGAAACACACAAACCAACTATTTATTTAGGCATCAGCGTTGCATAAAGGCAAGGAATGTTTTGGAGTCAGACTTTCTTGGCTGAACCTGGGCCCCAGTGTACTAGCTGTGTGGTTCCAGACATGTTACTTACCCTCTGTGCCCTTGTTTCCTAATCTGAAGATAGGAATAATGCTCCCATCTACTGCCTAGAATCCCTGATGTGGAGATAGAATAAACAGCACAGGCAGAGCCCTTAGAAAAGTGTCTGGCACATAGTAGATATTCAGTAAGTACTGGGAAGTTAGTGCTTTTCTAGGCTTTCCTGAGTGAAAAGTAGTTGTTTTGCAATTACCATTTTGCTTCTAGTTTTAATTTTTCTAGACAATTCAAATCACTGAAGAAATCAAATGCCCATAGCTGGATGTAGGCCTGCCGTACCGGGGAGCAGCCTTCCTTCTGAGGGCCAGCACACTGCCTCACGCCACCAACAATCACATTTCTTTCCTATCCACTTTATCTGTTACTTTTGTTTCCCCATAGCATCTTCACCCTCAGACCAAAGTGTCTGCAAGCTTTGTTAGATTCTTTCTCTTAATCCATTGCTTATCTAGACCAGCTCCCATTGTTTCCCTTCTACCGTGTTATCCATGCAGGTCACATCATCTTTATTTACACAGCCTGGACACTAAAGGAATAATTGAAATACCAGAAACATGCACCATGGGATGAAGTTAAGCAGGACTTTTTTTGTTTGTTTGTTTGAGATGGAGTTTCACTCTTGTTGTCCAGGCTAGAGTGCAATGGCGCGATTTTGGCTCACTGCACCCTCCGCCTTCTGGGTTCAAGGGATTCTCATGCCTCAGCCCCACGAGTAGCTGGAATTAGAGGCGCCTGCCACCACACCTGGCTAATTTTTAAATTTTTAGTAGAGACGGGATTTCGCCATGTTGGCCAGGCTGGTCTCAAACTCCTGACATCAGGTGATCCGCCCGCCTCAACCGCCCAAAGTGCTGGGATTACAGGTGTGAGCCATCGTTCCCCGCCAGCAGCACTTCTCTGCAAACACATTTCACTCTGCAGCTTCAAACCTAACGCCATTTTATTCCAGATTCTAAACACAAGGAAATGTTCTTAAGTTTAAGAGACTGTTTTGAGAAAATGGCTTGTATGTTTCAAAATGTAATATTTGCTTATTATTACATCTGAAAGCCCTAGATAAACCAGCCATTAAGTTATGGACAGGGGAAGGGAGGGGTTTTTGTGTTTTATTTTCACTAGCTCAAAAAATCCTTAGTGAAGTTTCTTTATGTAAATCCTGTGTGTGTCCCTTGATGGTTTTTCAGAGAAGCCCTTGAAGGCAGCTGGAGAACATTCTTTAGAGCAACAGGAGGCCTGATCCCTCATCAGATGTCAGTATTGCTAATCCTGATTAAACACCCTTAACCCTTGAGATCCAAGGCAGAAGTAGAGGAGGGAAGGAAGAGAGAGGAAGGGGGACTTTTTTTTTTTTTTTTTTTTTGAGATGGAGTTTCCCTCTTGTTGGCCAGGCTGGAGTGCAATGGCACAATCTCTGCCTCCCGAGTTCAAGTGATTCTCCTGCCTCAGCCTCCCGAGTAGCTGGGATTACAAGCATGTGCCACCACGCCCGGCTAATTTTCTATTTTTTAGTAGAGATGGGGTTTCTCCATGTTGGTCGGGCTGGTCTCAAACTCCTAACCTCAGGTGATCCGCTGCCTCAGCCTCCCAAAGTGCTGGGATTACAGGCGTGAGCCAGTGTGCCCAGCTGGAAGGAAGAGTTTTTCTTTTTTGAGATGGAGTCTCGTCCCTGTGGCCCAGGCTGGAGTGCAATGGCATGATCTCGGCTCACCACAATATCCACCCAGAAGGAGGACTTTTAAATCATAGTCAGAATCAGGATCACCCATAGTTCACGGACAGCTTTCCCAAAAGAGAAAGAAACAACTTTGAGGACATCTCTCAGTTTCCTGTTGTTAAAAGTCTTCCTGCCTTCAACTTGTTTTAAATCAGGCAATAATCACTGACCCCTTTTTGGCCAACCACACCCAGCTCCTAAACCCCGACTGGTACAATGACAATATTATCACAGCTATCATTTACTGAGCATCTACTATGAGCCAGGTTCTTTGTATACATTTAATCTGTACATTTGCTTATCTCCATTTTTTAGGGGTAGAAACTCCATCACACACTTACAAGTCACAGACATGGATCTGCACCCAGGTCTGTCTAATGCCAAAGGCCTCTCCCTATACCAAGTGGCTTCCCTGTTACCTTCATGGGCCCTCCAAGGTTGGGAGTATGTACTTTGTCCAGGTGTGAGAAGGTGTGAGAAGTCTTTCCCTCACCTGCTCCCACACTGCTAAGCAGAGAAAAGTTGTATGTGGTCAGGGGTGTGGTTGAAAGAGGGAGGCCTCCAAGGGGTCCCCCCACGTCAGCCTCCCAAAGTGCTGAGATTACAGGCGTAAGCCACCACGCTTGGCCAGCAGCACTTCTTTGCAAACACATTTCACTCCGTGGCTTCAAACTTCATGCCATTTTATTCCAGATTCTAAACACAAGGAAATGTTCTTAAGTTCAATGGACTGTTTATCCACGCTTTACCCATCCCTTCTTTAAAAGCCTTTCAAACAAACTCCTGAATGAACCTGAGTTATTGCCCCAGCCCTGCCACATTCTGCCCAGTTGACTTTGAACAACTCTTACGATATAGGCTGGAAATTAAAAATGCAATCCTTATCAGAGAATGTTTTTTAAATTGCCAAGTGCAATGTAAAGGAGGAAGAATTAATCAGATATTTCATTTAAAACATTGGTTTCTTTCCCATTGTAAATCTTACTGCAGCGGCTAAAGCATGGTGAAACTGCAGGGGTGTAAGGCAGCCAAACAGAGCGCTGGACACGTACTCAGCTACCTCCATTCCAACCCTTGTCATCCACAGGCACGTACCATGACCCAGGGGAGATACAATGCCTGTGACCTCAACTTCCTGTCCACCGTAGGACAGAGTCAGGCTAAAGAATTGATAAGCCCCTTCAATCTCTAATATTCCACAGTTGATTTGAAATACACTTCCTCGTCCTGTATCTGCTCACCCAATAGACCAGTGGTTTTCAACATTGGCTGCATATGAAAAGTACCTGGGGAGCTTTTTAAAAATACTAATGCCAGGGCCAGGCATGATGGCTCACGCCTGTAATCCCAGCACTTTGGGAGGCCGAGGTAGGTGGATCACCTGAGATCAGAAGTTTGGTGCCAGCCTAGCCAACATGGTGGAACCTTGTTTCTACTAAAACTGCAAAAATTAGCCAGGCATGGTGGCACACACCTGTAGTCCCAGCTCCTCAGGAGGCTGAGGCAGGAGAATTGCTTGAACCCGGGAGGCAGAGGTTGCAGTGAGCCAAGATTGCACCATTGCACTGCAGCCTGGGTGATGGAGTGAGACTCTGTCTCAAAACTAACTAAATAAATAAATAATAAAATAAAAATAAAAATACTAATGCTTAAATTCTAACCTTTAAGAGTCCGCTGTAACAATAAAGCCACAAATATGGTTTCATGGATTGTGTTTGGTGTTTTTTTGTTTGTTTTATTTTTGAAAAAGGGTTTCATTCTGTCATCCAGGCTGGAGTGCAGTATGTGAACTTAGCTCACTGCAGCCTCAGCCTCCCAGGCTCAAGCCATCCTCCCACCTCAGCCTTCCAAGTAGCTGAGACTCCAGGCACATACCACCATGACTAACCAATTTTTGTACTTTTGGTAGAGATGGGGGTTCCCTATGTTGGTCAGGCTGGCCTCTTAACTCCTGGGCTTAAGCCATCCACCGGCTTTGGCCTCCCAAAGTGCTGGGATTATAGGTGTGCGCCACTGCACCCAGCTTAACGTGGTTTTAATGTGCAGGTAGAGTTGAAAATCCCCACTCTAGAGGGAAAAAATGTAAAGAAGCAGTTGGAATGAAGAGTCAATGAGGCCTCTGTCTTTCCTGTGAGCACAGAACTGTATCTGTCTTCAACACACATTTCTGAGTCCCACCCAGAATAGCCAGGAGCCCTCCAGAGAAGAGAGAAGAGATTCCCCACTCCCAGATGAAGCGCTCCATCCATGTTCCAATGCCCACCATGGACAGCCAGAGACCAAAACCACCTCCAAGCAGCTCCATGCTATCATTTCCTCCTCACCACGGAGAACTGGACTCATTAGAGCATAACAGCAGAAATCACTTTACCCATCTCTTCTTTAAAAGCCTTTCAAAAAGATTCCTGAATGCCACTTTTTAAAGTTTGATGTCCTAGTGGAAATGGACTCAGCTGGAGACCTTCAAGGAGCATATTCCCATGAGAAACCCTCAGGATGTGTGGACATTGCCTTCCAGCTGGTTGTCTAGAGAACTTTGCCCTAAGGACAAGCATCTGTTTAGTCACCTGAAGCAGCCACAGTCAGCTTCAAAAGCAAACTCAACCCAGCTCAAACTCACTGAAGGGAGGAATTATTCAGGACTGAAGGCCCTACCCGGCCCCACGGTAATCCTTGCACCTGAGTGGTGTCCTGTGGCTGTTTGCAGGGAGTTGCCCATGTTTGATGATTTCCATACCTCTTGGGTCTGTGTGACCCTCTCCCTATAATCAGCTTCAGGAGGCATTTAGGGGATTATCCTCCTGCCTCTCCAGCTGCCCTGTTCACCCCTGCACAGAAAGCATTTCACAGGCTGTTCCCATTCAACTCTGTTCCATCATAATCCACTTCTCCCTTTTTGTTAATGATAAACTGTAATAATGGAACACGTGTGTAGAAAAGGAGCTGCCAGGAGAAACTCTAAGTCAGTGCCCTTGATTATTGCCGAGGGGAGGGATGATGGGTAATTAGCATTTCCTCCTCTTGTTTATTTGTATCTTATAATTTAAAAAAAATGAACATGTACTGTAATGGTAAGAAGGAAGTTTTTCTGTATCTATAAGGGGCATCTCAATGCCTTGTGTTTGTGCAGTATGCTGTTGATCCTCAAGAGGGTCCAGATGTCCCATTTACATGACTGGAATTCATTCTCGAAAGGTGTGGGTCATGGAGCAGTTGGAGTGGCCAACTGTATTTAACTCTCACCTAAATTCGTATACGTCATGAATTCTAAATTCGAACCTCTGAACTTCCAAATGGCATCATTTTTTCTTTTTGTACAATTAGTCCTTAGATGAAAGAATTGGCTTACGAGCAAATCCATCCAAAAAACCTGAATGTTTTCAAAGGACTGTGAATGAGGGGCACAGGGCGCAGTTCACAAGTCTTGCCATCTGGGCACATTGGCCCATTTCCCTGGTGGAGCAGTTTGTTTTGCTGGTGTTGCTGAGAAGGAAAGTTCCCCCAGAGCACTGGAGGAGGCATAAGGGAGGGGTGTGGCATGCACCAGGTCCAGGTAGGATGGCCTGATAAAATGCCAAACATTACATGGAACATACTTACACTTCAGAAAACAGTAATTCATTGTTTATCTAAAATTCAAGTCCAACTGGGCAACTTGAAATTTCATTTGCTACATTTGGTAATGCTAGGCTGGGGTGATCCTCTTCCCTGCCACCCACATTCCCCCAGTTATTGCCAAACTAATGCCACAAGGACAGCACCATCTCTCTTTCCCATTGGTCCCTCCCCGACTCCACCAAGACCTCTGCCCCACTGTCATTAGGCCACCTACCTTTTTCACATCTGGGACATTATGCGTTTTCTTCGTGTGAGCAGCCCAACCCACTATCCCAATGTCCAATGGAAACACAACTTCTTTGTCAGGGCCCACCAGGTTGTCCTCAAACTTGGAGGTGGGGGTGACGTCCAGCAGCCTGGAAGCCACCTCAGGTGTGCCGTTCCGGGCCCGGCACAGGAACATGCTGCAGCGGTCAGCCTGGAGCAGGTGGGCCAGCCTCTGCAGGGCCCTGTGAACCCCCTGCTCTGGGGTGCCCCCCTCCTCCTGCACGGTCCACAGCAGCTCCAAGCACAGGGCCGACTCCTCCACCTGGGTCAGCTCCGGAAAGGACATGCTGGACTGGACTGGCACCTGGCTATTCTTGAAGATTTCTCCCAGCACCTCCACCCGGAGCTTCTTGTCAAAGTACTCCTTGGCAAACTGAGGGTTCTCCTCCAGGTATTTCTCCACGGCATCTTGGTTGATGTCACCCATGGTGCGGCTGGCTCTGCTGCTGTTCAGAAAGGATAGCTTTCAGAGCACTACCTGAGGTGGAGTGATGAGAGAGAAATACATCCTGGTGGAAATTACTGAGGAAACCGTCAATGGTCCCTCATAGGACTTTCAAAGGTCAAGCAGAAAGCAGAGCTTTCAAACTGCCTGTAACTCTTGGGATGTGACAGAAGGCCCTGGCTTAGGGTGGGTTCAGGAAGCAGAGGATTAAAGAGTTCTTCAGGACACTAAATCCCTGAGCATTAGTAGCTCATAAGTCCCCAGCGAATCCTCAGAGCACCTTAGATCAGCCAGCAAGTAGCAAGCTTTGGTGTCCATTCCAAAAAAATAACTGAATGTCGGCTGCTGTCCACAGCAAGGAAGATGGGACATTCACTGACATATCCATGAATGACGTGACGTCGGCAACCATTGGCACTTTGAATTGTTCTTCCACGATAGTCATAGGAAGTAAAACTATTTAGACCTCGGAAGTGCTTGGATTTTTTTTTGTTTCTATAGTAATTTTAATGAAGATTCAGGGGATATGGAAGTTTAGCATCACCACAACATAAAGGTGAATATTAATCTTTTCTTTTCTTAAACGTCTTTTGATGACCAAGGTTGCTTGGCCTCCTCTTTCTCTAAAACCCTCACCTCTCAATCCCCCTCACTTTAGAAAGATTGACCTCAGAAGTGTTTCAAAGGAATATATCTCAAGCTTATTACTAGAGAAGTGAACATAGCAAAACATTTGCCAATGATCCAAGCCGAATCAAGCCACGAACTGAATAATAGCCCTTGTCAAGAGACCGTAATTACAAAAGGTAACCTACATAGTTACTAGCTGGGTTTTTCTGCTAAGTATATTAATTAGGATTTGGTTTTCAATAGTAATAGCCAGACATCATGCGATTTTGCTCCAACATACAGTCTGCTAAATCTGCTAGATGATAGATATCTTGTCTGTTGCTAGGATCCTTAACGTCTCAGGGGCTACTGGCATAGAAAGAACACTTAACACTACTTGGTTTTGTTTAATGTTCACTTTACTAAGCTTTTACATCTATTAAACACATTTCCCCAAATATTTAAACACTATTATGCAACTAATAATTCACACTATTATTTCATGAACCAATTGCCTTCGATATTTAAATGTTGGTTTCAAGCTCAGTCAAGGTGTTTTAAACAGGTCAATAAAGCTACAAACCTAATATGACAAATTATCTTAAGTGGAAAACACACACAAATATAACAGTGACTCTGAAAATTATTGTTACAGCCACATTTAAGTTTGCTTCAAAAATAGCAACGCTGTGACTTTCATTTAGTTCTCTAAACGTAAAGCTTTACCTCTTTAGAGACAGTAATCTTATTAGTCACAAAAGAAAAAGACATCTGTTGAGGTTGCATCTCAATTCATGGTTCCCTGCCATGAATTGAGAGAGTCTTGGTGGGAAACATGGTTTTCCCAGGGGAACAGAACGCAGTCATTTGTTGAGTTATGCCACTTCTTGTGGCTGAGCTTCACCTGCTGCCTCAAAGCACCTTGTCAGGTGCACACATTTTCTTGGACTGTCCTATGTCACACTCGACTCTAGTCTCAGGAGGTTTCTTATTGGATGACTATTTACTTCGTAACATCCTATTAATATAATTAGGATAATGCAGAGGTGTATTTCCCAGGAGAGAGTTGAATCAACCGAGTCACCTCTCCTATGGGTCCATCTTCCTCATCTCACAGTTTTGAGATGAGGGTAACTCTTTTCTACCAAGTTATTTTGTGTGACTAATGGTACAGTTCCTACTTCTCCCAAAAGTATGTGATATGCTCACGATTTCCTGGTTTCATCCTTTCCTCTTGAAACAGAGAGGGAAAAACATATATTTGCATTCCATGTACAGACTTAATACTTAATAGAGAAAACAAAATGCCCATATACGTTCATCTTCTATAATCTCATAAAAGTGAATATTAATTTGGAAAGAAATATTCTATTATAGTCAGCATTCTTTTGTTTTTATAACTAGTTAAAGATTCATTCATTTGTTCATTCTTCCTTTTTTTTTTTTTTTGAGACAGAGTCTCTCTCTGTTGCCCAGGCATGATCTCAGCTCACTGCAACCTCCACCTCCCAGGTTCAAGCGAGTCTCTTGCCTCAGCCTCCTGAGTAGCCAGGATTACAGGTGAGTGCCACCATGCCTAGCTAATTTTTTTGCATTTTTAGTAGAGATGGGGTTTCACCTTGTTTGCCAGGGTGGTCTTGAACTCCTTAGATGACCTGCCTGCCTTGGCATCCCAAAGTGCTGGGATTACAGGTGTGAGCCACCACGCCTGGCTTCATTTGTTCATTCAACATTTGTCTATTGATTGTCTGTTATAAGCAAGGCATCATTCTAGCTATTGTGATAGAGACTTCAAGTTCCCCTTATATTATATGATTCTTTCCTTCTCCCAGTTATGTGAGAAGATTACTCCTCCTCCTTCTGGTAGAGCCACATGACTGATTTTAGCCAATTGGTTGTGGGCAGAAATACACTTTCAGACAGGAGCAATCAATTGCCAATGTGAGGCTCTCTAGCTCTCAATTCTCTCTGCTGCCACATCAGTTTCAGATGAAGGGGCTCCTGAATCCCAGAATGAGGATGTCACGTAACAGAGGCCCCTGCTGACCCGAGATGGACCTGTAGCATGATGAGAAATAAACCCGTCTTGTTTTCATCCTCGGAGACATGAGGGTTGTCGTCACTGCAGCATTACCAAGACAATTCTGACAGCTATGCTTCTACTGCAGGGGACTCTGAGGTTGGTCCCAGCCTTAGAAGCACTTGTGGTGTAGGAAGGGAGATACGACTAGCGAATAAAAAGTCATGAGACATAGAACAGAATACGATTAATGCTGGAAGTGGGGTACATGCACATGGCTATGGGATTTCATGAAAGGGATCATATCAACCAGGCACGGTGTTGCACGCCTGTAATCCCAGCACTTTGGGAAGCCAAGGCAGGTGGATCACAAGGTCAAGATATTGACACCATCCTGGCCAACATGGTGAAACCCTGTCTCTACTAAAAATACAAAAATTAGCTGGGCATGGTGGCGTGTGCCTGTATCCCAGCTACTGGGGAGGCTGAGGCAGGAGAATCACTTGAACCTGGTTGAAGGAGGTTGCAGTGAGCCAAGGTCATGCCACTACACTCCAGCCTGATGACAAAATGAGACTCCGTCTCAAAAAAAAAAGTGGGGGGGATCATATCTAGTGTGGTTGGAAACAGGGTAGAAATAAGCATGTTCCAGGTGGTGGGAACAGCAGAAGCAATAGCATAGGCTGTAGGGTAACATGGGGTACAGTGAGAGGTGACCCTGGGAAGGAGGGTCAGGCCCAGATTACAGGGGCCTCAAAGGCTAGACTGAGGATTTTGAATCCTGAAAAATGTTTGAAGTGGGAGGCAACATTATTAGTATTCTTCTTTACAAACTTAATGAAAACGATAACTTCCAGGAAAGAAAATACGGGACATTGGGATACAGATTAAGATACTTTATTGCATTTGGTTCATTATCAAACAACCTAAAAATGTATACAGGCTTTGATCCTATAATTCTGCTTGTATGAATTCATCTTAGAGAAATAATTAAGAATGTATGTGATTAATGTAGTTTCAAGTGTTTATCATGAGCGTCGGTATAAAAGTAAAACATCAGAAATAGCCTACACACTCAATATTAGGAGGTTGAGTAAATAAATGGTATTAGACTTCTAAAATAGAAAGCTACACAGCTATTAGGTTGGTGCAAAAGTAATTGCGGTTTCTCCCATTGCTTTTAATGGCAAAAACCGCAATTACTTTTGCACCAATCTAATGTTAAAGTCTATGGACATGAACAAATATTTATGACATGCAACTAATTAAAAACAGTGTTGCAGCATAATTCTCTTAAAACACAGAGACAGAGGTATATACATCAAAATATTAACTGAAATTATTTCAAGGCAGGACATGGTGGCTTACACCTGTAATCCCAGCACTTTGGAAGGCTGAGATGGGTGGATCATCTGAGGTCAGGAGTTCGAGACCAGCCTGACCAACATAGAGAAACCTCATTTCTACTAAAAAATACAAAATTAACGGCGTGGTGATGCATGCCTGTAGTTCCAGCTACTCAGGAGGCTGAGGCAGGAGAATCACTTGAACCCAGGAAGGGGAGTTTGCAGTGAGCCAAGATCACACCATTGCACTCTAGCCTGGGCAAGAAGAGTGAAACTCTGTCAAAAAAAAAAAAGAAAGAAAGAAAGTGACAAATGTGAGACACAATCCAGCAAATGTGTCACAATTGGCAGGGCTAGGCAATTGATTAGTTAGAAAAAGTAAGCAAGGCAAGGGATCACTGCTAAGTACTTTGAGTGCTGGGTGAAGTTATGGACTGAATGTTTGTGTTCTCCTAAAACTCATCTGTTGAAATCCTAACCTCCAATCTGATGGTATCAGGCAGTATGGCCTTCAGGATGTGACTAGGTCATGAAGATGGAACCCCCACAAGTGGTATTAGTGCCCTTATTAAAGGGAGCCCAGAGAGCTCTCTAGCCCTCTTTCTTTCATGTAAGGATACCATGAGAAGATGGCTGTCTGTGACCTGGAAGAAGAAGATGGCCATCACTGAACCTGATCATGCTGGCACCCTGATCTCAGACCTTCAGCCTCCAGAACTTTGAGAAGTGAATTTCTATTGTATATCAGCGACTGTGTCTATGCCACTTGTTAGAGCAACCTGAACTAAGATAAATGACATTTTATCGAAGATTTTTAAATAGGTAATATTAGAACCCTCCTTTTAGCACACACACCAATAGACTTTTCTTTCTTTCCTGTCCTTGACAAAGTCCTGTGATTTCCATGGCTCTTCCTCTCAGGATAGTTCTTTGCAGAGCTTCTGGCCAATGTTAGCAAGATCTCTGTATCTCTTATTGACTGTCTGCTACTAGGCACTGAAAAAAACAAAATCAATTTCAGAAAATGACATGTTTTATTTTTTAAAAAACTTCTGATTCGGGGGTACATGTGTAGGTTTGTTATATGGATCTATTGCGTGATGCTGAGGTTTGGGCTTCAGTTGAACCAATCACCCAGATAAGGAGTACAGTACTCAAGAGGTAGTTTTTCAACCCTTTCCCTTGTCCTTTTT